TGGCTGTTGTGGGATGACTAATAGCATCAGGCTCAGCTTTCCAATAGTATTTTTCAGCATGATTCATAATCCTGAATAATTTCCACACCACCACTTGCAAATGTCTACTTGTACCTGCATTTCATGGGTGACACACCCAGGGAACACCGAGGATCCAAGTGTTATCCAAGGGTTCACAGGGGGAAAACTAAATACTCTTTACAGGTGTAAAGAAAGACCAGAGCCCCCCATCAAAACCCTGCTACAGTAGGGAAGAAAACTCCTGAGTGTTCACAAACCAAGAGGTTTTAAGGAGGAATCTGAAGGAGAAAGGAAAATAAACTTTGAATGAGGAAGTTGGAAGCGGGAAAAGCAGGTATAGAGAGCAGCAGGTCTGTGTTCTGAACACAGGCAAGCACATCAGTGCTTAAATCCCTCAGCAGAAAGAGCCCTCTCATGGGGCCAAGTCTCTTGGCAGTGATGGGACTCCAAAAACACATCATCCCAAGCACGTTCCCAGCAGCATCCTTGGAATCCAGCCGAGGAAACAACACTTGGAGCTCCACCTCGAGCACCTGAATCAAAAATTGGGTGTTGAAACCCCAGAGCCAGTGAGGGAGGCACAAAGTGCTCAGGAGGTGGATGTTCCCATCTGTCCAGGTTTGGGGATGAGGGAACCCTGGAAGAAATCAAAGCACAGGCTGGATCTGGGGTGCAAAAGTCCGGAATTGGGGTGAGGTTTCACGAGCTGAGCTCGGGTTTCCTTGTGAAAAGACACAAACAGGAAGGAAATCCAGCATTTCTTCAATCTGGTCACCTAAAATCACATCTAATACTTTTTCTTACTGTGAATATTTTGTTTCAAAGCCCAGGGTATGGCAGGGAAGTGTTTCTGGGCTGGGATATCCTCTGCAGGGACTCAGCCCAGTTCAGAACTGGGCACAGGGATGGGCAGGACAGGGGGATACACAACACTGTGCTTTGAACTCCTGGAGGTTTAACTGTAACCCCAATTCTGCTACAAATCCACGGAATCTTATTAAATTCAATCACAGATTAATTAGATCCCTCCTGTTTCCATAAGAAGTTTTTGATCCTATCTTGGTTTTGAGATTCCTGACTGAAACAGAAGCTTAGAAACAAAATATAGTATTACATAGATGGGTGACTCCAAACTTTTGGAATGACAGCAGTGGTGGGAATGAAGACATATTTGTACCAGGCTGTCAGAGCCTGGGCACGAATATTCTGTCGGACCTCACAGCAGAAGGTTTTTATGGAAAATGTTATGATTTAGGCAGTGAAAATGACATTTTTATGGCATTTTGCTTTTATAAATAATGAAGGAAACCTGGCTAATCAGAGCCTGGCAGAGACAGAGAACTCAGCAAGGTAGTAAGTGAGCAACTGAAGTCACATTTATGCCCAATCTGTGCCCAACAGTAGAGTTTCTGTCTATAAACTGTAAATCACCTTTCAGCAGGTACAGACTGGCACAGTGAAAGGGGAATCCAATATCTCAGCTGATTCAAATATAACTTTTTGTTTAGTTACTTGTAAAAGAAATTGCTATTTTGGTTGTCAAGTAGCAAACAAGGAAAGGAACTATGGCCTGAACCACAGCACTTTAGGGATAATCTGCTTTTCGTGACTTCTTGCTCTGAATGTGGGTAAATGTATTTTATAAACAACCCCCTGTGTGTAACAACTACTTCCTGGGGTAGAAAAGAAAGGGTTCAACACACCAAGCTTTACTCAAGATTTCTCTGCTATTGTTTTCTGAACTTAAATGTTCCTTTTTATGACAGTTGTGGTGTTTAATTCAGCTCAGTATTTTCCAGGAAATCAGTTGCTGCTTCAACATGTGCCCAAATTCCAAGTTCATTCAGAACTTGAAAAGCAAAATTTAACCCAGGGACTGGAATTCTGTAATGATGCAGGAATTGGCAAAACCAGACCCTTGGTTCCCAGGAGAATGACAGAGACAAAGCCAGATATTTCTTCTAATTAGAGATGAAAACATTATTAAATATCTGAAAAATTGGAAGCATATGTAACTCCTATAAGGTGGGTGTTTTACTGGAAAATAACTGAGGGCCGTGCCAAAATTCTGTGTGTTCTGATGTAAGAATTCAGCAGGAGATTGAGAACACATTTTGCTGGGAGACATCCCAAACATGAACATTTACACAGGCTGAAAATAAAACCCCCTGTAGGGTCAAGTCAGACAACTCAGGACGGATGAAAATTGGCAGCTCTCAGAGAGTGATTATTTTTAATTACAAAATAATATTCACTCAAAAGAAAAAAGATGGATTTCCTTACTATGTGTTTACTCACGTTTTCCACACCCCTGCTATAAATGGATTTACAGACCCTGGCAGTAGATTCCACAACCCTTTGTTTGTGGAAATGGGGGTCAGAAGTTTTTTTATTAAAAAAAGAGTTTTGAACTCGAAAGCAACGTCAGTAAGGATGCAATCTGAGGGGTTTGTGTTCTCTACCTGAGGCAGGAGCTCACTTGCTGACTAAGAAGAGAGGCTGAACATCCTCACTGCTCTTTAGAAAGTCATTTTGGTGGGATGTTCTGGCTTTGCATTGCCCAAATGCACTGAACAGACTCAGTGTGATGAAGTGAACAATTCTGCTCTTCTAGATGATTTCAGATGCAGGTGCAGAATCATAACAACATAAAGATTATGTGGTAATTTGGACTTGCATCCTCCTCCCTCACGTGAGCATTTTTCTCTTTCACACAGTATTTAATGTCTGTTTTCAGGTCAGCCAATAAAATGATGACAGTCCTGGTGAGGTATTAAAAGACCATTAACCTGCTACAGGGATTTAGGATTTCTCTGATAAAATTGTAGGGGATTCCTAACTCCAAAGCCCTTGTGACAGAGCACATGTGTGGGTAAGGCTGCTGAGGGCTGGAGGCACATCCTGAAAGATTATATCCACCAAATCATTTCTTCCCTGCCAGTGGAACAATGGCCAGAGAAAGGCACCCTTTGGCTCCCTTCCCAAATTAGTCACAGCAGTTAAGCACAGCCCAGCAGCTTTCAGCCCAGCCCAGAGTGTGAGCTTCATGTGTCACTGTGCACAAGAGGCTGGAATTTGGGCTATTCAAGCCACTTCCCAGCTTGGATGGAGTGAAATGAAAAGAGAAATCAGCTCATTTTTGGGATACTTAACTATCTAAAAGCCAGTAAAACACAAATGGGAATGCACAGAAATACAGATTTTTAAAAGAGCTAAAGGGTCTCATAGTGTTAACCCTTAGAATTGTTATAATGTCAGGAATTCAACCAGTTTGGGTCTTATGCATCTGCCAGGAGCATTCAGGGAGAATCACATTACAGTGGCATCTGGGGAGCTTTCTTATTCAAAGGGAAACACATGAAAAAGGGATAAAAGTAGAATGACCACACTTATTTAATTGGCTTTCAGAGATTCTCTGTGCAGGCAAGGCACAGCCTTCTGTATTCCAGGAAATGGGGGGCTGGATTTGGACTGAGGCACAGAGCTCTCTGGGCAGGTTCATTAACATGTAGGCAGAGCAGTCACCTCACACACACAGAGTTTGGGAACACTGCAGGAGTGTAGCACTGGAATTCGTGTTTTTCTGGAAGCACTAAAGCTCTTGGCTGGTGATTCAAAGCCTGGAACATTTGGAGACTTGCACATGGTACATATAAACAACCCAGGGACAGAAAACACTGTGTACAACTCAGATATAAAAGCCCCACTCTGATGTCCAGAATCCACAGCGAGCTTGGAAGTACAGAGTGTGTCCTGAAATAATTTCCATTTCATAATGGAATGAGTCACCTCAGCAGTGATTATCCCAAGAATTTCCATGTTTGCTGGGATTAACCCTGTGAGATGCTCAGGACCTCAGGACTCTCTGACTATGAGTCACTAAAGCCCTGGCAAGGAATCCTAAAATCCATTTCCATCTTCTCTTGTCCTGCTAATTAGACCCCATGGAAATCTGCCCACATAATTTGCATGTGGAAACAGATGAAGACAGGGATACACCTTTCCCCCACATGGTTTTCCTGGGAAAATCATGCCATGGCACACGAGGAAGGCAAATCTTCCTACATTGCCATCTCACACGTGGCTAAATATCTATTAAAATGCACATAAAAAATACACACATCTAGTGATCTCAGTGATAGAGTTAAGTCTGGATAGAAATAGAGGCAAAACAAATAAGATAAGAGAATTTTTTGAAGTAGTGGCAGCAATTTTTGATCCTTAATGCAGCATTTTTGTATGTTATTTCTAAGTCAGGTTCCTGGTCCTCAGGAGCAATGCAGCCTTTTTGCAGTCTGGCTGAGTAAAAATCAATGGAACTTAAATGTCACAAGTCACCTGTGAAAATAGGACAGGCTCCCTGTCATTTAAAGGGATAATTAGGTCTCCTAATACACAGTTACCAGTTCAGAAGTAGAAATGTTTCCAGGTCAACTGCCTGGACAACCTCCCTGAGCGTTTCCATGTGCTTCTCCCTGCAATTTGAATTTATATCCAGTTATTATTGGATACACTGGGATCTTCCCGTGCTTCTTAGAAAAGTTGGTAGGATTAAAAAAAAAAAAAGGTGAAATACTCACAGAGGCAAAATTAAAGATTGCATCATCTCTGGCTATCTCCTTTCCACATCTTAAATGCTCTGGATCAAGGATATTCCTAAGAGAGAGGGAAAACAGTAATTTTAAAGTTCTTGGCCGTGCTGCTCTTGGGCAGCTCTTCAATAAAAATAACAGAGTGTGCAACTGTGCTTTGTGTCAAACTCCCTCCTCAGCTTTACTGGGAACCAGACTGGGCTGTGCCAGGAGCTGGGAGAAGGAAATTTGGCCCCTCACCTGCCACTTTCCTGGAGGCAAGGCAGGATTTTTAACTGTCAAACCCAGTCATCAAATGCCAAGGTAACATTTGTTTTATCTACAGCAGACACGGACTGAAAATACAAATAAGGAATGTACACATGAGATCTAAGAAATTTGGTTGTTTTTTTTTTTAAACAAGAAAGCAGAGCACAAAACCAGCATCAGTTACTGTCAGGGATGGAAATGCAGGAATTCAAACAGAGTACAAAAGGAAAACCTGAGGAATAAAGTAGTTTCTTTCACAAAGAGCTTATGAAGTGGCTGCAAATATTTGTGTTTTAATAAGACCTGGGATTTGATGACAAGACAGTACTTTCCATGTGTGTTTTTACAGTTGATCCACTTCATCTGGCTCCAAATGTCTTTGCAGCAGTCCATGTGATTCTCCCATCCAAGCTTAAAAATCATATTTGAGCATCACTACGTTGTAACAACATTGCTATAAAATACAAGCAAAGCTCATTTTTCAAGGTGACTATTAATAAATGTTCAGTTCAAGAAGGAATTGCCAAACAGGTGAGGATTTTTTTTTTTTACATGAGATTTGATCTGGCTTTTTAATTCAAGAACTCTCCAAGTGAATCAGCAGCCATTGATCATGAGATCTTCAGCAAAATCATCCATTGTGTTTAAAAACTGCCCACAGAAGGTACAGGATGGGTTTGAAGGCCACCACTCAATCCAAGTGCTGGAGTCCAAAGGGTACTGGAATCTAGGAAAACAACAGAAAATGATCATTTGCTGCTAAGATTTGGGAAGGAAAATGTCAAAGAGAAAAAAAAATTCCAATGTGAAATCATGTACAATGCACTCTGTTGGTGGAAGTAATACTGCAAAAATTAAATCAGTTCTATTCCACAAGAATTATTACATGCAAACCCTTCAGACTTTAAGATTAAATCTCTGCATATTCTGGGGGTAAATAACTTACTTGAAACTGTAACCAACGCTTATCTTTAAGGCTTCTTTTCCCATGATCAAATACTGCTCTCCTGGGCTCAGTTCAACATCTGCACAGGTCTTCTTTTTAACAAAGGTTATTTCATCATTGTTTTGAGCAAAAGCCTGCCCTGAAGTAGAATGACAAGAATTGGACAATTTCACAAAGGGAATTTCCAGTCACTCAGAGAGAAAACACCAAATTGTTCTCCAGTCCAGCACAGCCACTAGTTCTGTAACAGCAAAATTTGATGACATAAAACATGTTTCTCGTGAAATATCTTTCCAATTAAATCTGAGTGGCAAATAAACCTTGTGCACATTAAATATTTTTATCTTATAGTCATTTTAAGGATGTATTGGATGCTTAAACTGAGGAAAAACGAGTGAGTATCAGCTGCAGTTCTGCAGGAGCTACGAGCACATGCCTTTCTCACAGGTAAGACAGCCAGTGCCTAAAAACATCCCAGCATCCTTTCTCCCAGAAACAGAGACATGGAGCAGGACTCTCACCTCTTTTGTAGAGATCCAGAAGAGTTGCAGAATACTTCACAAAAGACCCTTCCTCGCTGCGAGACAAGATGTTCACTTTATAAACTGCAGAACGACACAGACCAGGCTTTTTGTTATTCCTTCTTCCTGCAACACATCTGGAATGTCTCCCAGCTGCTCAGGAGGAGAACTTCATGCCCCTTTACAACACCAGTGTCTGGGAATACAGGGTGGCTTGACACTGCAGGGCCAGGAAACACTGACAAGTTCTACCCGTGTCTAATTTGATGGAAGCTCTACCCGTGCTCTCACAACTTCCTCTGAGCCCAAAGCCACACAAATGGTACCAAGCAAGAGAAAACTCAGTGTTTATTAGCAAAACTCAGTGTTTATTAGCAAAACTCAGTGTTTATTAGCAGAACTCATCAGATCAGGCTGATCTGATGATGCCCTGACCCTGCTGATGGGACTTTTATTCAGCAGCACTTGCCCTTCTCTGCTCCAGTTTGTCACCTGCCCTCACCCTACACCACTGTCAACCCCACTGAGTTTTTAATCACTCAAGATCAAATTGGAACAAAGTGTTTTGCAGCCCTGGTAAGCAAGCAGACATTTCAGAGCTCATGAAATAATGACAAATATAGAAATATTACCATATGCAATGTCCCTCTGACAGGCAGCTTCTTTCCTGGTCTCAGCAGTTATTGACTCATCAAGTCTTCTTTGGACTTTACTACACTCAGCTACATTGAGAAAGGAAAAGTCAGTGTTAAAAGAATGTCATCACATGTCCTCCACCTGCTTGGTTACTCTGACAACACCATAATATGGAATTGCATGTTGGAACTATGAATAATTTAAAATACAAAATAACACCCTCAATCACCTGACTTAATCCACTCAGAATTCCATGATCACGCTGCACATTTGGGTTTTTTTTAATTATTTTAAAGTGTAAAATTTGGAGAGGAACCAGCTGTGCTCTTATGAGGATTTCCCCCTTATGTTCAGTGTGGTTTTGTTCAAAGAACAACCCTGCATTTTCCCACCAACTGACATGGAGAAACATCTTAAAACAAGTTTACCTTCCATGCATTTGCATTCGTCTCCTTCGCACAATCTCACAAGTTTTTCATCTCCATAGGGGTTATAAAATATAGTGCACCTTTTCTCTAGAAGAAATAATAAACACAGAGAGAAAACCAACACTGAAGCTTCGAGTCAAAAGTTAACTGAGCTTACAATAATACAGACTAAAAAGCTGTGAAAGAAGGGAAAATGTAGTCTTGCAGGAGGAATACAGTTAGAGGGATGTGAGGCCATGGAACACATACCTGGGGCATGATATTCATACACAGTGAACGTGGCAGGACTCAGCATTCCGACCCGGAAAAGCTCACCGATTCGGAACCCAACACACAGGAACTTCTCAACTGGCACCTGTTGGACAGGCACAGGAATCAGGGAGCTCTAAAGGCACCGAAATCATTGCAAAGAGCAAAAGCAGGGCTTGCAGTGAGGCAAGGGGTGACCTACAGAGTTGAGCTGCAGGATGACGTGCCCGTCCTTGATCTCATAGTCTGCTATCAACTGGTCGACTCCACTTGCAAGCTGGAGGGGACAGAAGAAGATGAACAGTAAATATTAGAGTTCTGGCCAAAAAGAGTCAGTAAGAGAAAAAAGGTTTTCTAATACTTGCAATGGATAAATCCTCTGGATTTGCTTCCAATCCACTGACCAGCTCGATGTCCATCACGGTGTGGGCAGACCCCAAGTGGGGCTCCCTTGCACTGGGCCTGTACCTAAAACAGGTTAAAAATAAAATAGTTTAAACCCAGTATTAGTTAACCATGACTGAAATTAAAAATACTTGAATGTGATCTCAGAAAAACCCGAGGAAAATTCTGTCAACGTTCAGACCACAGTAACCTCCTAATGGAGCATTTCAGATTTGTGAAGCCAGGAAGAAGCTTTTCTTAATCCTTATGTTCCAGGAGAGCCCACATATACACTGAAGAAAGACATCCCAAGGAAAGCACAACCTTTGGCTCCAATTCTGTTTACACACACACATAAAAGGGGAGAAGCAGAAAGGAAAGATCAGAAGAGTAGGTGTAATTATTGAGAAACCCACCCCTGAGCTGCCCTTACTTTGCACAAGCCTCCAGGCGCCCCAGTGGCTCCCCTTCTCTTCTTGGGTGACCTGTTCATACCAAGGAGAGTCAAAAAAGCCATTTTATAGCTCTCCAGTAGCCCCAAATTTCCACAAAGCATTTTCATAACCGAAAGATAATTCCTTAAGTTGCTTTGGTGGCTGTTTTTAAAGGAGCTCATTGTCCAGGCACAAACAAGTAACATTGATTTCTTTTGCAGCTCAGGTGAAATCACAGTTTTAAGGTTTCATGTAGTTTAACATGTATTTATGTTATTGAAACTATTTTGTGTGTATTTATGTTATTAAAACTACTACTGAAAGCTCAGAGTGTGATTCTCTACCCTGATCTAACTGGACTAGAACTCTCACTGGTTTGTAGAACTCTCTGTCACCCCCTCCCACTCCCATCATATTTCTGCCTTCTCACTCCCCCCACTGCAAAATAAATTACTAAAAATGCACCTAACAGAGATACATTAAATATTAGTTCCATTCACAAAAAGGTAATAGTTTCAAACAGGGCTAAAAAGGCTTTTAGCAACTTCTTTTCCAGTTTTGCACCTAGAAAGTGGCAGAATTTATTTCGTTCTTAATAAGAAACACTGTTAAAAAAACAAGGATTTTATCCCTCCCTTGCACTGACCTGAGTAGTGACATTTAAAATTATATTAACCCTTTACCATCATCTCTCTTTGGAACAATCTTCAGGTCAAAGTTACAGGACTCTTCAGAAGTGCCAATTGTGTTATACACTGTCCTCACCTGCACAGGTAAAAATGAATCAGACTGAACAGAAGCAGCATTAAAAAAATCCTCAAAACAGGCATAAAACTGTGAAAAATCATACTGTGAAAAGTAGAAACAAGTATGTTTTACTGGTACTATAAAAATACCAGCAAAGCAGAGTAAATAAATTATCAGCACAGAAAGAAGCAGGGAACTCTTGAGCAAAACCACATCACTCTTACTGGTCGTGTTTAAGAGAATAAATGTATTTTCTAAACAATTCCTGATGTTTTGTGAATGTGAATAGGAGCACACAAGAGTATCCACAGCTCAGATTTGTCTAAATTTGATGCTGGAAGAGGCTGTGAAAGACTGGAAAATGTTTCATGGCAACATGATGCTTAATGTTTAGGCACACAAAAAACTTTAAATATTGCTTTAAATATATGACAGTGCTTAATAAACTGAGAGTAAACACCAGACTAACAGAGGATTATTTCTCAAAATTGATCACTAATTTGGGTCTTCCCTGTCTGGCTGATTAAGTAAAATCGATGAGCATTAAAATGAAGTTGATCATCTATTTAGTGTGGGCTTGGAGGTCTTAAGAGCTTTTTCCAGTCTTAAGGATTCTGTGATTTATGGGACAGAAAACCTTCAGTGGAAAGGAAGATGCTTCCCAACTTCTCTCCCAGTAGCCATAAGTCATACAATGGCTTGTACCTAATCCAACACAGAGCCATAATGACACCCATCCCTTCAGGGCAACAGTGGGAGAGTTTATGGGAAATTTCAGTTTCTTTTTCGTTGTTTGTATTTACTAAACCAGAAATTCCATTTAAAAACCTGGTTGCATGCTCACATTTACTGTAGCTATGCCAGTGCTGCTGCCAGTGCTCACATAGATGTCATCTTGCAAAGGTGCCTAAAGGATTGAGGAGAAATAATGACTTATTAATAAATTAATAATTAAGATTAGCACCAATTAGCAGCGATTCAGGTCAGATGATCTGCTTGTCTTGTTTACATTTCAAATACACAATAAGGTCTGATGCTACAAACATAATCTATCAAAAAATACTTTATAGGAACAAGCAGAGATATTAATTTTAAAGGAATATTCAAATGCATTAAATATAGCAGATAAACAAGTCCTTAAACGTTTCCTATACCAAATTAATACCAGCTTGTTATAATAAAAAGCACTTTACTAGCAATTTCGAAGTTCAAATAATTATTTAACAAGTTGCTAAGAATTCTACTTTCCCTTTGAAAGCAATATTATTCACTCACTGTCATAGCTCTTCCCACGAAATGATCTTCTGTCAGTTTAAACATGTCCAAGAGTCCACTGTTTTTGTAGGAAACTTTAACATCCATGTCCAGATTGAGCCGTTTGACAAGAAGGGAATATTCAGTCAGGGCCTCAAGGGCATTAATTGTGTCCTGTCAGAAATCAATTATAAAAAATTAACTCCTATTGAATTCTATTTATAGAAAATATGTATCCATTAAATTCTATTTATAAAATTTCTGTTTATAACACCTCCATGGAAAGAAGTCATACCCAGCAGAGACAAAGAATATCTTGGCCACAGAGTCACTTGATACAAGGGACACTGAAGTTGTCCCTGTGATCATTTAATTATATCATCCTTTAAAAATGTTTATATCATAAAATCATGGAATCTCAGAATAGTTTAGGTTGGAAGGGACCTTAAAGCTTATCTTGTTCCAAGTGGGACACCTTCTACCAGACCAGGTTGCTCATCCAACCTGGCCTTGGACACTTCCAGGGATCCAGGGGCAAAATGTCACAGATTTTGGCTCTTGAAGAATAAGGACAAAATATTTGCAAGCCCACCTGAGTTGAATAAAATCCTCCACCGTATCTTTGTTCCTCAGAGAGCCATTTGATGATTGGCTTGGCATAGCTTTCCTCCCCTCTCAGCAAAGTGGTGAGCAAAGCATAGGCTGTGGTTTCAACCATCTGGGCAGTGACAGAGCTGGGAGCATTTTGATCTTGTGTCTTGAAAGTGTCTTTCCAAAACCTATAGATAGGAGGGTCACCTGCACAAGGGTAAAAGGAAGGTTCCAGGCTGAAACACAGCAACAGCTCTGCAGGATACACAAGGTGTAAATGACTAAAAATGTACCTCACAGAAACATATTGAAAATTAATCCTGTGCACAATAGTTTCAAACAGGGCTGGAAAGGCTTTTACCAATTTCTTTTCCACTTTTGCCCGTAGCAAGTGGGAAGAATTTATTACAGTTTTATTCTTAGTAAGAAACACTGCCAAAAAAAGGGTTCAAAATGCACAAGGGTTCCAAATGCAAAAGGGTTCCAAATGGAAGTGTTCAAAACGGGAAGGTTCAAAATGCAAGTGTTGGGAAGACAAGGTGGGCATTGCCCACTCAGGACAAGGGGACAAGGAGGAACTCACTCTGCATCTACCAGGAGATGAAGACACACTTCCCTTGCAGTGGGAAATCTGATGTTTAGACTAGAAGGTGATGATAAACAGACCTGATGTAAAACAGCTGATGGGATTTACTGGTCACGAACAGCGACAGAGCGGCCAAACAAAGGAGGCAGCACTGGAACTCACCCTCCAAGCAGTGCCATCACATCAGGGTGTAAAAACACTGAGAGAACAGCCTGTGTGAGAGCAAAACCCAGCACAGACCAGGAGGACTGAACAATACCTATGACAAAAGCTTCCCTCTGGAGCTCAGAGAAGGCCGCCCGCGCCGAGCGATGGTCCCGGTCCACGAGAGCCAGGGCGTAGGAAGTGATGGCCATGGTGAAGGGGCTCTGAGCAAACTGCACATTCCTCATCAAATAATCTCCTGCCTTGCTTTTGGCATCGTGGATTTTCTGGAAAGATGAACAGGCTACAGCTCACATCTGTCAGAGTTGAAGAATCACATCTCCCCCGGCAAGAAAACATGGATATGTGATGTTTTCTGCAATATATCTCATAATAAACTGACCCAGAAACTCCTTGGTGTTCTTTCACTGGTTTTGAAAGACAAGCAAAACAAGGAAGTATCTGGAACTGAACAAAGTCTCTTGATTTCTTTGAACAAATGTTAAAGAAAACGGAAGAAATTGGAACCCACTGGCAGAAATAAAAATCTCATTTACCTGAGTAGGACATATTTTAATTGCCTTGTCGATTCCAATGATACAAAATGCTGTGAGATACAGAGATTTTTCTTTAGCTTCTCTAGGTAACGTGCCCTACAAGAATCAAATGAAAATAATTAAATAGAAAATAAAGTTGATTAAATAAATAGAACTTTTCACAGTTTAGGTGAGGAAACAAATAGAAATTCCTGTAAAAAGTATCAGTTTAGTTTAACCTGAAAGTACATTGGCTCTTTGGAAGGTAACAGCTTATTTGTACAAAAAGGAGACCAAAATATATAAATATATAAATTTATCGACAAGCCAGGACTATTTTGTTGTAAAATCATCCTACATAATTCTTTTCTAAATATTAAGAAGTGGCAAGCAGCTATTTTGAGTGGGAAGACAGAGAGGTTTGCAAGACTGTGCTGTTTCTTAAATGAATTTAGGAAAAGGCAAACCTAGCAAAATCATCTTGAATGGGTGTTTTGGTGAAGTGCAGCCTAAAACCTCTTCTGCATTGCTGAAACACTTTGTCTCCTGGTGACTTCAGCTTTTACTGTCTAAGCACAGAAAATGTTTGGGTTTTCCTACCTGGAGTTTCACCGGTTGGTAGTTGGAAAATTCACTGAATGACCCATCTGGCATTTGACAGTCATCAATCAGCCACAGCAGGGAATCACAGACAGCAATCTGGTCAAGATTGATATATTGATAAACTTGTCCAAGAATCCTTAAAGCAAAAGCTGTCAGCCTGCCAAGGAGACCAAACATTTGTTTAGATCAGCAGGTACTCCCACACTGCTGGGGGCAGCCACAGATCTGCACCAGTTATGATCTGGGGATCCCACACCTTCCCACGCTTCAAAGGAATAATGAAGATGAATTTCAAATTTAACTTCACAAATGGGCAATAGTTAATGAAAGAATTCTAAACTAGGATCTATTCCCATGTTTCAGGGGAGGGACTCATTCCATCCCAAACCCACCTGGGTTGTCACAGTGGGAGCTGTGGACACGAATAAAAGATTTGGCAAGTGAAAGGAAGGAAACAAAAGGTGTTATTTAAAGCTGCAAGGTCTGATTAAATCTACTATCACACCTCTCACGCTCACCAGAAGTATGAAAGCAGAGGAGGGAAATAAGCCTTTTTAATTCATTCCAACCAAAAAAACCCTCCCAACTCACCATGTGCTGGCTTGCCCGCCCTTCCACATGCTGTAGGACCGGTCAGCGTTTCGGAACGACAGGATGCTCACAATTCCTAAGGGATGCACCAGGCACAAAACAAGCCATGAGAGTCACATTTCCCCCCTCAGGTGTGTTATCTTTCTCACTGGCCTATGCACCTCTCCAGCTCTGAAGCAAGAGAGGCAGATGTTTCTACCTTCTTTCATCTTCCTCCTCATCTGAGTTCTCAAGGTCAAGGTTTCAGGCCCCAGCAAGTGCCAGTTGTCCGACTCCTCCAGGTAGCGAAACACGTAAAAAACGGGGGCAACGCTCACGAGTTCTGCCTCTGCACTGCCCCTGGGCAGCTCAGCCAGAGTCCTGAGCCCGCTGGGACTGAGCACTGTGGCAATCACCTCACCCATCAGGTGGCCTGTGGGAAGAAAAAACCCAAATGTAGTGCCATAAGGGGTCAGGAAAGAGAAACCCAAGGGCAGTTGCGCAGCCCTTATAAGCAAACGTTCAGCGTGAAGTGCTTCAATTCCTACACAAAAAGGTGGCTTGCAAAGCCTTTTCTCACAGGAGAAAGAGCCCAGGCATAAATTTAATCCAAACTAGGAGAAATAGATGTAGAAAGTACATATGCAGTGCACTGAAAGTGTCAATTTACCTTTTACACTGACACTTCTATCGATTTCTGTTTTAGGGACCAGATTCAGGGGGACTCTGTATCGAAATTCTTGTCGTCTCTTGATTGAACCTGTAATTCAAAATATACATAGACACATACATTGATTGAACCTGTAATTGAAAATGTATATATATCTATCTATATCTATACATATATATCCTTTTTTATATATACACATATATTTATTGATTGAACCTGTAATTGAAAATGTATATAGATATATCTATCTATATATACACATATATATCCCTTTAAATATATATACACATTCATATATATATATACATACATACAGATATATAGATATATATATACACAGATATATTTATATATATGTGACAGATATATATATATATATATATATATATGTCACACTGCACAATCTAAATCAACAGATGCTCAGCTGCAATAGCCAGATTTAAGGTTACAAGAGATTTAAGGTCAGCAACAAAAATACCTGTGAGAACATGAAAACTAGAAATATTGCCAAATGCACGTGCAAACAATGCTAGTCTTTGAAAAAGAGCAGGTGCAAGCTCTCCACCTTTCTTTTGCTTCTTTGTTACATGTTACAAAATAAAATAAAATCTAGACTTGAACTCTGTGGTTTCTGTGGTTAAATGAGAACATGTTTTATTTTCATTAATAAAGCACCTGCTGGTTGGTTTTCAAGCACACTGGAGAAAAGCTTGGTGTCATATCACTCTAAAAGATATGTATAAAGCTTCCTTTAAGAAATGAATCCAACTATATTTTAAAGACTTGCTATTTGAGATGGATTCAAAGTCAAGGAAAGGGCAGGAAATCCTTGGGAAAGGATGTATGTACAGTATCTCAGGAAGGAGAGATTCCAATTTTTTCACATTATGGAAAACCTGATCATCACAAATCAAGAATAGGAAAAAATAATCCAAGGACACAGGATCAATTCTCACCATAAACACCCTGTGGATCCAAAGTGAAACCTGCATGCAGCTCTTTCTTGATGCCCTCTGGCTGAAATCATCAAGAGGAAAGAAGTGGGAAATGGAAACATTTTTGTTTAATTAAATATATCAGCTGAAACAACAGCTTAAAACCACAGTATTTTTGCCTTCTACAACTTTTCCTGTAGTTGAGTTTTACTTCACTCTTCTACAGCTGCTCCATGTAAATTTAAATCAGAGTTCTATCTCCCACAACTCTTGAGAAAATTTAAGAAAATATTTAAATAAAAGCTTAGGAAAAATTACCAAAAAAAGTGTCTTTCAGTGAAGCATTCTTAACCAGCTGAAAATACAGACCAAATAACCTAGAATGAAGTATTCTCCCTGCTTGCAGAGTTATATCTATTTATACATATAATCTCTCTGACAATTCCGATAATCAAGGTTTAAAAATGTTTATGCTCCAATATTCAGTTGTGCATTTTTCCAGTGCACACATCCCAGTGAATTCAAGGACATTTTGGATTCTGACAATATGAAAATCAAGCAGTATTTAATATTGATTTAATTTCTGTTCTTGTGACCGAGTCAACACGAAATTCAAACCCGCTGTGAACATTTAGGTTGTTTTTTCTTACCTTGACACGCAAAGTTTTAACCACAATCTCACTGTTACTGGGGCTCAGCAGGGTGAAGTTGACAGTGTGGAGTCCTAATTCCAGGGGGAGGATCCGGAATGTCAGGGGGGCTGAAGACCCACCCCCCAGATTCCTGAATTTACAGCTCGATCCAGAGGCTGCAGAGGCTCCAAAAGTACAGATTCCATTTCCAGCTGCTATTTTAACACAGAACTGAAAGGTGGGAAGATTTTAGTGTTTCACCTCCGTGACAGGTACAACACCAGAGACATAATAAAGCCACTGAAATGTTATTAATTAATTTAATGGTATTTTCTCTTTACAATACACATAACACAAGCATAAGGACTGGAGAAAATCTGATCCAAGGATCTGTTCATACTGGATACTGGCAGGGGAAATGCTTTTTTACTTTACTATGTTAATCTTTCCCTGGAACTCATTAACACAAATTACCTTAATTGCAGAGGCTTTATGGTTATAAAGTGATCCTTTTAACTCAATTTGTTCTCCTCGTACCACGGAATAAGGGACATAAATGCTCAGGAAAATGTCTTTCACAACTTGGATTTCCAAAGGTGCAGCAACACATATACCTAAGAAAATTAAAAATATAAAGCAGAGTGCTTTATGCCACCCTCCTGATGAACAAGTTGGAAAAAATCTTGACATATTTTAGTGGTGACTTCTCATTTTTCAGGGTGTACTTGGAAACTGTCCAACCTTCTTCTAAGTGCCCAGGTTTTTACTTCCTGTTCCAGGCTGTTGCCTCCCCCTCTTCACACACTTACTGACATACCAATTATTTGGGTTTCTTCTTCCCAAAGTGAGATTTTCTGCTTGGATTACCAAATCTGTTGGAAAATCTCAAGTCCCTGAGCTATTGGAGGCAGGACAATGCAAAGTTGTGCCAGGGAAGAGTTGCTCACTGTTTGTTCTTACATTTTTCTTACTTATTATGGGCCACTGTCACACACAAGACAGGCTTTGTTTTCCCAGCCACTGATATTCATAAGAGGAAATTAATTCCTTTCCCTAAAGTATATATTTTGATGTTTTCTTTTCCAGTTTATCAACCAGAAAGTGAACATTTTAGAATATACGTGTTCTAAAGGAGAGGTTCTGCAAAACTCCCTAATTCTTTAGCTCCAAACTAATTAGTTTGCAGGGCTTACCTTTATCAGAAATGCCAATACCTTGGACTTCCCAGGTGGTCAGGGAGTCAGGCAAGGTGACAGACAGAGTCTTGGACCTGTGTGAAAAGTGTCAGTCCATTTACCAACAGCCACCTGGAAACACCAGCAGCTCATCAACACAACAACAGAACCTGCCCAGAGCAACTCCTGGATCTAAGAGAGGCTCAGGGGAGCTGTGAGAGCACAGTTAGAGAACAGAAATTCTGGAATTTTGTTTGAATAAACCTGGGTTGAGCTGATTTCACAGCAGGTGGGATTTAGCAAGGTCGAAAGTGAAAGGAGAAGTGACTCCAATCTGGCCCCACAGAGAATATCCTGCACGAGGGAAACAGGGCAGGAAGAGGCTTTTTGGATAACACTGTATTTCAGCACGCCAAGGTTACCCAGCTCACCTCAAGTTTAGCACTTCCTTTCTATAAAGGTGATTTGAGAAAAGTAGTACCTGGAGGAAACTTGGTGAGCTTCCCATAACCAGCTTTCAGGGAAGTAGCTTCGAACTTGTGCCTCATCCAGTTCCAAGAGAGACTCAAAATCTGAAGGACATAAATAAAGCAAGTCAGAAAACCGCAGCAAAACCATCTGCCAATGGCCACCAACGGCTTCAAAATGATCTTTTTGTCTTTTCTGATGCTGTATTTTGCTCACTTGCCTCAGGTTAGTCCTGAAACAAGTAAAAAGGTGTGTGAATACCCTCAGACAAAAGTCTGTGTTAATCCCACCTCATCCATTTACACACATGAATACCTGTCCAATATCCTGACAGATTAACTTGTTAACAAGCAGTTATAGGGAAGGAGTGGGAGACAAGGAATTCCACACTCCCACTGATCTCTCCTGAGATGTTACTCATTGGCTGTTTGGGGCTGGGCAGAGTATTCAAATTTAGTTTACTCTTAACACACTCCAATTGCAGTTCTGCTTGTCCTAAATGCGAGTGAACAGAACAGAGAACTGAACAGAATAAAGAACTGCTCTCCAACCCCTCTTTAGGGTCTACAAAGACCACAAGCTCTTGGTAAAATTCTTCCTGGAATAACCCTGACAGGAAACAGGGAGGGATTAATAGATTATCAAAGGTCCAACCTCTGTATTCCCCCAAATTCCAATGGAACAGGGGACTCCAAGCTCTCATACTCACGCATTCTGGCCAAGGTTAGGAGCTTGTTTGGCTCTTCCAGCCTCAGCTTGTTGGCAAATTCACAGCAATCTTTGAATGCAGAAATGCACCTTTCATTACTCTGAATTCTCTGGGCTCTGTCACTGCAGGTCTCCAGCACTGGATATGCTCTGACTCCAGCCATGCAGCATTTCCGAATGATTGAATGTTTGTATTGGGATGCTGAAAGAAAAGTAAAAGAATTTGTTGCCTTGAGATGAAATTTTTGTTTCCAGAAGCATCTTGACTTGTTTGCAGAATTGCAGTGAATGCAGCAAATGCCTCAAAGGCTTTATAAATAGGGTCCTCTCTAAAGTTATCTTCTATATTTGCCAGTCTCTCTCTCTCCAGCACATTACAAGTATTAAGTAAACACTCAGGTTCTTGATTCCTAATGGATGTGACCTTTTTTTCGTAATTATATACTTTAAAATATTTTTAACACCTTTTTTGTGTATCTTCTCCTCGAAGTCAGACCGTTTGGTTCTTAACACTTCATTGCAAGGTTCACCTGTCCAAAAAATAAATAAACAAGTAGAAGAAGACATTCACTTCTTTTGTAACAGCAGAGTCCTCTTCAAAATAATGCCATAAAATCACATTCCAAATGAGTGAAAATTTTTCTCTTTGCTAGTTTAATTGCATAAAAGTATTCTCATTTTAATGACAGTAACTGATCCACAAGTCGTGTTTTCCTCTTGTTACTTTAATTGAGTTCCAGCATAATACTGAGAATGATAATATAATGTTTGGGAGAACAAGACCCACAATTCCATGCCTGATCCAAAGGAATGTACCTGCTCCATTGGAGTCATCAGCATTGGCATTGGTCAGGAAGGTGAGCCCAGCCATTCGGAACACGTCGATGTTGTTCCTTCCTCCTCCAGCCCCACAGCCAAGGTCACTCTTTTCCAAATGGAGCATTATCTGAGCAGAAACACCCCATCAGCCAACTCAAATGTGCAAAACATCAGGTGAGGAGGGAGAAAACGTGCAGAAAGGCCACCTCAGTGTGGAAGATGAGCTCACAGCACACTGGAGCAATATTGGAGCTAATTCAAGTGCCAGCACTGATGAGACAGTTCAGATCTGCCTTTAAAACCACCCTTTACTTTTACTGGAAATCAAGAGACTGTAAATGAATTCTTCTCATAATTTTGAGCTGTAGATTTTAACCAACAACTTTTATTCTGGCTTGAATTGCCCCTCTGCCTGTTTGCAGGCTGACTGAATGCATGGCACGTCCTAGATACTGGATGTGAACAAGAAACAAAAAGCAACTTGATTTTCCTTTATGGCTGCTACTTCACCTTTTCCCTTGCTCCCTTTCTTCTTCCTGTGACTCCATATATTGCCTTGTCAAGAGATGACAGAGCAACAAAGGAACTGGACTGTGTTTTCATGGTGAGTGATACAACCTCTGCTGGCTTCAGTGTCTCTTTGCTTGACTGCAGCTTAATCTATAAATTGAAAACAAATATCGGTCATTTGGAAAGCACATTGTTCCGAAATCAACCCACCTGAAGGCAGACACTTTCATAAGTCAGGAAGTGTTTCAGAACTTGTGTAAATCCAAGATAAAATCTTGACCAAGAAGTGAATGCACGCCCACAAATTTCAGTGCTAAAGAACTTGTGTAAGGCCGAGATAAAATCTGACCATAACATGAGAGCAAACCCACAAATTTCAGTGCCTGCTTTGCTGCTCACCTCGAGGCTATTCCCACACTTCTGTTCCACATCCAGCCAAACTGAATCAGCCACTAACTCAGCAGTTTCTTCTCCTGTCACTATGTAGTAAACAATCAGACGTGCTGAAGGAACCATTGCTTGGGTTATCTCAAAAGTTAGAGGTTCATATTCCAAATCCTTCTTTCTCTCCTGAGTTCCAAAGCTTACTATCTTCCCTTTTGATGTGATCTACAGCAAAAGAAAAATGGAGAATAACAAAGTCCAATGTTATATTCAATGTATTTTTCACATGGAATTAATTGCATTTAGATATAAATTTGACAAAAATGCATTTGGGACCAGTGGCTGTAGTTCAAGGGAAGGTATTTCTCTCCCTCTTCCCCTAAAACAAAGTGCTGGCTCTGCCCCTCTTTTCCTTCCTCCACAGTTCAACTTCTGGAAGAGCTCTTGAGACTGGTACTACTTGCTCTCAATCCCAGTCAATGTCAGATGAGAATTAAAAGAAATGGAGACTGAATATATAATTTAAACATGAGTTTACCAACAATTTTTTCCTCTAACACTGACAGATTGTACCAGGAGGGAGCAGTTCTATGCTGAGGTTTTCATTTATGACCATTACAATTCCATATTTCATGTAGAAATACCTGTTACTTACCAAATAGCTGTAATGATGTATTTTATCAATATAGTGACTGTGTGGATAAACATTAATATTTATCACATCCCCTACTTCGAGTGTTTTGTGGTTTGAAGCCCAGTCAATGTACAGATAACTCTGACTCAGTGATGAATAAGCTTTGGCTTCATAGGTTTTACTTGCTTGGTTTTCATCTGAAAGTCGTGGATCTGCAGTTCTGACCTGAGAAGAGAACAAAATGTCTGACTAGTTGAAGTACAGAATTATTCCTAAGTCATGACAATACTAAAATCATTCTGCAATATATTGTTCAGAGGGATTAACAGAACAAAAGTTAAGCCAAGATTTCAATGATTTCTTTAAGAAAAGTATCTCTCAATATCAAGTCAAATATAAAAGGGCAGTGTAGAAGCACGTACACAAATAAATAGAGCAGGAAAGGTGAAGGATTTCTCTCCCTACACAGTGAGGGAATCACTCTCAGAGATTTGTTTTCACACCGTGAATTTGGAGCTTTTGTTTAATTATTATCATCAAATAAATAGATGACCAATTAGGCTATTTAGTTTCAGAGTAGTTTAATAAAGACTTTAATAGAGAAGCCACGTTTCCTTATAGCAGCTGCATTTCACGACTGATTATTTGTAACAGCCTCCAAGCCGACAAACTCTCGAGTGCAAAACCTTCCTGCTTGTGTTGTACATCCCAAAGATACAACGAAACCCTCAAAGAAACAAATTAACGGGACAGTTTAACTCACTTGAAACTCCAACACTTTGCTGTCTGATGGCACATTAACGACAAACAAAGCAGTGCCATCCCTGAGGCTCGTCTGGCGTCTCCCGGACTCGGAGCCCTCTGAGATCAGCGGGGTCTCGTCCATTTGCTCGCTCAGGGATTTGGCAGTGACAGTTATGGGGACATTTCTAACAGGGTCATCCACTGTGTCCTTCACCTGCACCTGTTCAGCAGAATAAAGAACAGTTCTGAGGGGAACTGGGACGTTTTTGAAGAAGAAGCTTCCAAGCTGCTCAGCTGGTTCTGCAGCCAAAGTCAGTGGAAATTGGAAGTGTACAGGAAAATACTCAAAAAAAGGATGAGGGTTATCCTCGGGGGGTTCATGTGGTGATGAGCACTGACCTTAATGAAGAAGGGAAGTCCAGGCTTCACAAAGAGAGGAGTAGCAATCAGACTCAGCTTGTAGGGAGACACAGCAAATCTGACTCCAGCAAATTCCACTTCCCCACTGAGGCCACCTACCAAAACATGGTGTCCTTTGGAACATTCCCATCCTCCAGACTCTGTGCTCCCCTTGCCTTCCCAGGGCAGCACAACCTGGCTGGGAAAGTGAAGCCTTTGCATTCAAAGACTCAACTCTTGTGAAAACAAAGAGCCAAAAAAAGAAGTTTAATCCCTCAACATTTTTACAGTGAGGATGGGCTGCTCTTCCTTGCAAGTTTTTGGAAGAACTTCTGCATATTAAAAGAAGCCTGATATTAGGAAAGTTATCCCTATAATTTTCTTTTCTAGTCCTGTTCACATTTACAGATATGTTTAAAAAAATTCAAAAGCAACTTACCTGTAGACTCCAACACTGATGCCACAATATATAAATAGGACCCATCCAATTCTTCCAGACTTTGGAACCCTATGGAACTTGCTGCTTTCTTACTGTTAAAATTGATCACAGCAACTCCATTTTCAATCTGGAAATGAAACAGAAATCATGCCTGTATAGTCAATAATTAAAAAATTTTATTTTGATAACCTGTATGCAAATTCAATGTGCTTCTGGTCAGTGTCTACTTTTAGAGGAAAACAAAGTTGCTGTTTTAATGAAGGAGAATTCTTTATTACCTATAATTATTGATAATTAATCCACCTGTGGCACATATTGCAAAGTTTGCATGCAGGGCCAACAAGAGGCAGAAATAACACAGAGATAGCTTCACTAAATGAGGAAAGGAGATAAGTAGTGGAGAACAGACTGCCCACAATAAATCAAGATAATTTTGATCTGTTTGTCTCCATTGGATTTCTCTTGTTCATTCTGACAGCATTACAGTTATCTCATAGAAATTTCAACCACCCAGTTTGGCCAAGGAAGGAATTAAAGCAGATTGAAAGTGCATTATCTCAGATGCTGCCTCTGAGCTTCAGCTCAAAGTGAATTTCTCTGCCCTTTATTAACACAAAGAAAGTTGGCAGTGAGGAGCTGTGGATGCAAACTGGGGCTTGAGGCCCATTCTCACCAAACTGAATGGAAAAACTTCAGTGGAATTAGATCAGTCCTGAGCCAAGCACATAAAATCTACACCAAGCAGACCTGCTGCTCCTTACCCTGGTTACATGCATTGCTTGAGGCATCATCTTTTTTTCACTTTCTTCAATTATTCCAAAACGAAGGAAAACATCAGCACTTGGAAGCTTTTTGTTATAAAAATAGCTGAGAATAAAACAACAATAGAAATGCTTTTCAGACAGTTTTAATGGGTGCAACAAAACATTTGGTTTTGAAGAAGATGAATTTCCCAGGCAAGAGAGAGAACACAAATGTCTGTGTAGCTTTAAACACTCCTGTTGAAAAATAACCCCTTAGGAAGGATTTTAAGAAGGGTCATTTAGTTCTCTAACAGGGCAGAGAGGATTTGGATGAAAGGGCTTCTTGAAGAAGGAAAATACTGGACACAGGAGAATCACCCTTCAGGCAGAAGAAGAAGAGCTACAAACGTATTTAGAAATCCAAGCCAGATTTCCTCACCTTGCTTTCACAGCAATCCTGAAGCTCTCAAATTTGTCAGAACTAATAAAGTTGCTTTCTGGCTCAATGAGGATGGAAAAGCTTGGCATTGCTGAAAATGGAGTGGAAAAGAAAGGCACTTAGATGTGTTTGATACCTAAAGCCACAGGTACCCAGAGATGCTCCTGCAGAGCCACCCAAGAATTGTTGTGCTTTCGAGGGGGTTGGGTTGTTAAAAAGACATAAAAATGAAAGTTCACAATCTGGGCACATCTTACCATATTCCTTAACTTCAAATTCTGCCACAGCTGAGGTTGCAAAATCCTTCTTATATTTGGCTTTGATCTTCCAAATTCCATACCTACCAAATGCCAACAATCAAACAGTTTTTAAGAGGGAAGTTAATGTTGAAGACAAAAATCAATATTGCTGCTCGACAATATTTTGTGTTAATAATGATTGTGAGAGGAAAGTTCTGCACCAAAGCTTTGCACGTGTTCAATGCCTGCTTTGAGAAGCTTCTCTTTGGTATATTTATAATTATTTTAAATTTATATTAAAGCAATGGAAGGAACTGGGAAATGAAATCAGTCCAACCCCAGTTTTACAAGCCCCTTTAGCATCCTTCTGCCAGCCCAGTAAAGCTCCAGCACCCTCTCAAGACTGAAAGGAGAACTGAAGGGATATTTCTTTTTTATGCTGCTGTTCTTGGAAAAATCCTGGTGATTTGCAGGAATACACGTGTGAAAGATGAACATTTCCCCTCCCTGAAATCAACACGGCTTTGGTGCTGTTTCTAACTTTAATTGTTAATTATCTTCCTTTTTCATTGAGCGCAGCAAAACTACCACTAAAGGTTCTTTAAGGAGATTCTTGGTCAGAAATCTCCAAGTTTCAAGTCATGCCCATCATGCCAAACCACTCGATGAAAATCATTTAAAAAAGCTATTTTTCTGTTAATAATTCACAAAAAGCATGAAACAAATTACTTAGGATTAGGAGGAATCTTGAAGTCAGGAAATGAAACTATTCCAGTAAAATCTTTTTCTTCTAAAATATCCACTTCTACTCCTTCAGGATCCTTGAAATCGGAAGAGGAAAGAAGAATTCGTTACAAATTGTTCTTATCAACAGGAGAATCTTCATCAGTGATTTCAGTGGCAGCCTGGCCAGAAGTTATTTTTCTGAGTTTTGCCCCTTTCACAGCATGAAAACATAAACATCTGTAGAAACAACTCAGACTGAAATTCTGAGAAGACATTTTGCTCTGATTCCTACAAGTAAAAGCTGTGAACACATCCCTTAAAGTGGCTAAAAAATTACTGTAATATCAAGGCAATTGTTCAAGGCTAAAAAATATAATAGATACTCATTATTTTTATATATTAAATGAAACAAACAGTAGGAAACCCATATAGTATTACTATTAAAGATAAATTTGTTCCTTTTTTTTTTTTTTTATTCTGTAACAACTTCAGATCTGGGACTTGAAAACTTCTATCCAGCTGTGCATTTTTAGATCTTTTAAAAGATGTGTGGCTGCCTGCAAAAACATCTGACAGTTTTATTAAATACTGATTGCAACATTGATTCACTATCCAACTCCATTTAGTTGTTATTAGAGCTACAGAATATTCATGTTAAATGCAATTACAACTCACCACAAAAGTCAGGGCAGTCTCCCTCCGAGCTGGCTGCAGTTCTTCATTCAGAGAGTAAACCCTGACTTTCACTGGAAGAATTGTAGCAAGAAATCTCAAAGTCAAACCATAATAGAGATTAAAAAAAAAAAAAACCAACCCTGAACAACCAAAAAATCACCAATATTTTGAACATATTCCCAGAAAAATCTCTTGTGCCACGAATTAGACATTTCGGGTGAGAAGGGCAGGGACTGAGAGGATATTGGGAGAAGTGATTAATTTTTACAATATTACCAGATAGTTCAAGACATTATTCAGCTGATTAAAAAGTGAAATAGCAGCTGATAGCTGTTAAAAGAGCATTTAAATCCTCATTCCTTGGCAGAGTCCACAGACTTTAAAAATGAAATAGCAGCCAAGACAAATAAGCCCTACTTACCTGACTGATCAGGAGTATAAATTGGTTTGTCTGTGTGAATAAAGAGAAACCCATTCTCATAGGAAACAGGGATTTTTTTCTCTCTTGTAAAATGTGGAGAAACAGCTTCCAAATACAAAAACTTGTCTGAATTATCAGTTCTTGGTAAATCTGTTGGTTGAAGCTGGGGGAGATGAAAGAAAGGTTTTTAAAGAAAATTATAAAGTGTTTTTTCCTACAGTACTTTTTGGGTGAGAAGAGTATCTGAATAGCAGTTACTGTCCTGTGGTTGAGTATCTTGAAATAAAAATACCAACACTCACAAGGTTTTATTCTTGCTACAGATACTTTGAAATTTTGCATTTATTTATACCCAGAATTAAACCAGCAAAGTTCAAAGCCCACTTATGAGGTTACAACCGTACAAATGATCAGACTTCTATTTATACACATAATAAATCCTGGCCACACCAAAGCTGCTGCTGTGGTTGGTAGTTTAGTTTGATTCTCATTATTTTGTAAAGCTATGCAACTGGGATAATATTCCTAAAAAAAAAAGTTTGATTCTGTGTTCAACTTCACTGATTTCATTCCAAGTAATTTGAATTTCAGACATAATAAATTGGGGCTTTAGGCTTCCTTTCCCAGTTTAAACAACTGAAAACTTGTCATAACCTTTTTTAATGCTTATCACTAAAAGTGATAATAGAAAGACTGTAAGAAAAGTCTGAGTTCCTTACTGTTAAAGTTACAGAATCTTGGAATTTGTTGGCTGGAGTTAAAGAAATCCGACCGGAAGAATAAACAGTAGTTTTATCTGGAAAGCTTTTTAGGGCAATATTGACTGGAAATTTCTTGTCATAACCAAAAGCTTGAAGTACAACTTTCTCAGAGGCCCCAGCTCGGAAGATCTTTGGTGCTGTAAGGACATACCTGTACAGGGAATACAAAACAATACAAGGGAAATGGAATTAGATTTTTTCTGGATTTTGCCTATTTTTAATTCAGTTCTTAAAGCCAACAAGATAACCTAAGACACAATCCAAAAGCTCTTCTAATGGTGCCTTTTGTATTGGCTCTGCTTCAATTCTGGCTCTATTTGTCTAAAAGAGCAGAAAACAATCAAGTCCCATTGCCAGTAAATCCTGCATTTGCTTTACTTACGTTTTCTCTTGGCTAAAAGCTGTTCCAGAAAATAGCAAAACAATCAAATAGATCAAAACAGTCATTGTGCCTGTGACAAGAGCAGAGCATGGAGTTACTGGTGCTGGGTTAAACCCCCTGTGCTGGGGAGGAACAGCAGAGCCACCGACACACTTCACTCCCAGTTAATCATTAATTGCAGATCACCTTTTATTAAAATGTTATTTCCCTCTCCCAAGGAAGCCAGAACTGCTAAACTCAGGAATTTTTTAATAGATGCTTGCCATTTTTTAATATGTCCACAGCCACCCTGAGGCAGTCCTCACCCTCTGACAATTACATTAAATCAAATCATTTTCCGAGGTAGAAAAAACCCCAGCAACCAACAAAAAAGTAGATTTTGCCCTTCATGAAATGATTTTTATTTAAATCCAAGTGGTTTTCCATTTTTGTCTCAAGGACAAAATGCATTTGGAATTCTCTCAAACATAATGCATGGATAGGTTGAAATCAGAATTTTTTGTTTGGAAATAACTCTTCCCTTCCAAATTTCTTCTAGCCATTTGTATTCCTCATTATGCCAACTTTTTGAGTAATTCCGTTACAAATAAAATTTGTAACATGAGAACATTAGGGCACAATATATCAACAACATGCACTGTTTAAAAAAGCAATTGCAAAAAAAAAATCCCACAACATTTGGTGACAAAACCTTTGCAGGTCTGATATCCAAGACAGCACCACAACAAATAGGTTTATGTAAAGTTAAACAAAGTTGTGCAAGAATGCTGAAGTTTAAACAAATACTGTGGTCAACCTTTACGGGAAAGGCATTTACAAAACTATTTCTGATCGATATAAAATTAAATTACAGTAAGGCCAACTTGGATTTCTCCCAGATGTAATAAACTGCAGGGAAGCAATGATAAAATCTTATGAAATGTGAGGTGCTTAATAAAGCAAATGGCCAAAATACCTATTATTAAATGCCAGTAAGTTTATGTGGGTGGCATACAAATGTATATTTGTAAATGCAAATAGTAAAACGTATTGGAAAAAGCTTTGAAGGCCTAACAATACTCTGAAATAATGTTTTTTGAATCTAATGATGCCCCTTCCACACGTTTTTTCTCATATACAGCCTGATGGTTTTTCAGCCCTGCGTTTCACGACTAGATGTAGAGATTCCAAACTAACACAGCCCAGAAGCGCTAAAAGAGACTTATTTACACGCCTCTGAGGAAATGGTGGTGATTTAGACCTACCGCGCGGAGCTGAATGCAGTATTTCCAAATGTTACAGCACAAAACCTATTTACGCAGGTCGGCAGCGACACGCTAACGTGACACATACAGAGAGGGACAGAAAAAGTACATAAGGAAAAAATAATGACGAGAAGAGCAAGTTTTATTGTTTATACAGTGATTCGGGCTTTAATTACCCCAAAACTCCTCAAGGTTTTACTTTCCTACCGCGATTTGTGCTTTAAGCACCCCAAGCCCCCTCAGGGCGCGTCCTGAGGGGACGCGGCGGGAAACGGCGAAGAAGGGGCGGGGCCGGAGGGGCGGGAACGGCGCGCGGGAGGGGCGTGGTCTCCGCAAAGCCCCGCCCCTCCCCTTCCCTCTCACCCGCCGGGGCCGCCGGACAAAATGGCGGCGGGGCGGCCCCTCAGGCGGCGCCCTTAAAGGAGCCGCAGCACCCGCGACTCGGCGGGCGGGGTGGGTGGTGATCGCTCGCTCGGGACGAGGAGGCGGTGTGGAGGTGCGCTGAGAGCCGGTGCCGTCCTTCGGGAGCGCCCCAGGGGCCGTCCTGGCCGCCGCGGCGGCGAGCGGTGACACGGCGTTACCATGTCAACGCAGGTAATCAAAGCGGCGGCCTGAGGGGAGACGGGGCGCGGCGGGATCGGGATCGGCCTTGGTGGGTCACCGGGGAGGGGATGGGGGGCACTGGGACCACCCAGGGCCCCGCCGGGGAAGGGGGACCCCCAGGCCAGTCCCCCCTCCCTCCTGCTCTGCCGTGGGTGTCACTGCAAACCACGATCCGCGCTCAGGAAACAGCGTTACAATGACAACCGCGCTCCCTAAAACAGGAAGAAACGCCCGCAGCATCTTTCTGTCCCTTCGACTCTCACATTCCTGGTCCTGTTTGAGTTGTGTCTCCAAGCAATGGATGGAAAAGAGTGGCTTTTTCTTGCCGCTTTCTTCCTTGACCACCTTTCCTTTCCAATTTTGGAGGGAACAAAATCCATTTCAACGAAGGACATAATCTCAAGACACAACGTGATCACTCACAGACCTCCACGTTCCCGTAAAATCATACTTTTCTGTCTTAAAGACTGTCTTAAAATGTGCTCTTTGTTCACTGTGTGTAGGTGTCAGTAAAACTCAGTCCCTGGGGGTGATCCCTACAAGAGATTTGTCCCACAGAACTTGCACATGGCTTTTTCTACTCTGATCCCCGGGGAAATATCTTCTTCACTGAGGGAAGTGTCTGTTAACATTCTCTGGAATTTCCCAGGCAGTCACGAGATAATTTGTTTGCAGAAAGGGAAACTCTGGGAATGCCGGAGTTTTTCTCTGTTGCCTTTTTTTTCGCTCTTCTTGCTGCAAAGTGGGTGATTTCTACCTCTTGTAAAAGCAATTGGGATGCAATCCTGTGTTTCTACCCTCTGCCAGCTCTGTTAGTCTGAGCTGAGGGTATCTGCAGACCTGAAAGGTGTATCCATTCTTCCCAATGCCATGAGAACTGGGAGCTGGCACCCTCAGGAGAACTGGCTTCCATGTGGGTTTGGCACAACGTTCTCCCTGTAGCCCCTTTGTTGCTGTGCAAACCTTTAATATTTATCCTTATGCACAGACTGATGTTCATTTTTGTTCTTCCAGATCTTGTCCTGTGGTATTTGGGATTTTTGGCAATGAGGAAAGGCTCTGTAAGAAAAGCATTAAGTACAAAACCAACTTCTCCGACACCGAGTCCAATGTCACCTGTCAGCTCAGGTACCAGATCCCCGTCTCCCCTTGGCCAACAGACACCTCCAGCTGCTCCCAAAAGCATGGAGCAGGTGTACCAACACCTGGATATTCCAGCAGAAGACGTGGGACCTGCTTTTAAGTTTCATAAAGGTTTGTGTCATGAACAACCGCTGGTGTAAAAGTACATACCACAAGCATAAAAAGCCAGTGTTCTGTGAGTTGTGTGGTTAAAGATGTATGGTCTGTTGGAAAGAAGCCTGAAAAACTTTCTTTCATCTTTTTTTTTTTTTGGAACTCAAATGAAGAAATGAGAATAATGAAAGCTGTGGAGAATAATGAGACTTTTAGTCCTCTCTGTAAATGCTCCTGATGTGCTGGTTCTTCTCATCCCCTGGTGAGGGAGGGGATAATTTTCAATGTTTTGCCAATATTCAGTGTGAAATTAAAGACTAATATAAAAGTCACCAGGTTCTTTTCACTGCTAAAGGTACTTTCTCTGTTTAATTTCAGGTGAAAATGGTGTTACCCCAGGAGTTAAGTACATCACTGAGCCCCTTATAAAGGCTCTGTCAAAACAGCAAAATTTGGCATGTATAACCTCACTGAATCTTTCTTCCCCAAAAGATGGGGACAAAAAGTTTAAGGTAAGGTTTTTGACAATAACTGGTAATTAAACCAAGTTTGAAGTTAATTTTGGTTTATTTTTTAGCAAAGGTTTATTTTAAGTGGTTGTGAACACCATAAACAATTGATTCATTAGGGTGATGTCTAAAACACCATTAATTTGTGTAATGTTTTAGCTTTTGGGTTGTGCTGGTTTAGGTTTGGTTTTTTGGGAGAGGTTTTTTTGGGGGTGTGTTTTTTAATGGCATATTCTCTTTTATGTAAATGAGAGTGGTCCACTGTAAACTTAAAATCCAGTTTTTCTCTTCCAGCACTATAGAAGTCTGTACCTAAAGTGAGGTTTTAGAACCCAACAGTGGAACTGTGATTAATTAAATGTTAGAACACTTGGTGTTTGTAGTGAACAGGTGGTTGTTAAAAACAGAAATCTGCTTTTCTCTTTTTTTAAAAAAACCCTGCAATGCTGAGGGATTCATTTTGTGTTCTTCAGTACATAGAAAATCTGGAGAAGTGCTCTAAACTAGAGATACTAAATCTTAGTAACAACCAGATAGAGAAGATGGAGAAGTTGGATAAACTGCTGAAGTTACGGGAGCTCAACTTGTCCTGCAACAGGATCAGGTAAAGAGGAAACCTGGGCAGGTTTGGTGAGCCCAGGGACAGTAAAACTGATGTTCTTTTACTGCTTGAGTTCTCTCCAAAGTGCATTTCCCACCAGTTGTATTCTAGACTAACAGGCTTTGGTGAGATCTTCTTAAAAAGCACAAACTCTTTGGTGTTGGAAGCAGAAATAGTTCTGGGAAGTGCTGTCAGTGCTGTGGTTAAACTTGTTTTCCTTGGAAGCCAAGCCAGAAGTGCAGGTTTCCAGATACCACAGTGAAGAGTGTGCAATGACCCAATTAAATGCCTTAAAAATTTAATTAAACTTTTAGTACTTATTCTTACAGGTAATATAATTTTTCTTTTAGGAGAGGAAGCTGACTGGGCTTGATCAGGCAGGCAGGAAACCCACTGAATTGCTTTTTAACTGTTTTGAGAGTCTGGTGCCTTGTTTGAGTGGGTTAGAATTGTTGAAGGGTAATGGTTCACACAATAGCAAATGAGTTTTCATTGCTTTTAATGTTTCTGCCAGTGAATTATGATCTTTACTGTGATGAAACCCACTTTGCAGCAGAGAAGTTAAGAATAGGAAGTGGGCAAAACACAGGTTTCTACACATGGCATTCACACAACTTCCTCTCTCAACAGGAATTGAAAAGGGCAGAGGAGCTTTTAGCTGCTGCTCCATGTTTTCAGACCTTAGTTATGTACAGCTGGTATATATTCAATAAATAGTATATAAATGAGCACATTCTGCTGTCCTTTGTAACAATAATCACATCTTTAGATAAATGCCTGAATAGACTAAAACCTAGCATGGTTTCCTCAATGGTTATTTACTGTTTTAATAAAACACTGAAAAATGTAGCTCTTCATGCTGTCAGTTTACAGTTGATCCTTCTTTTAGTTGTTTAGTCTAAACAACTAAAACTTGTTTATTTGGGTTCATCTTTCTCCCATAAGGTTCTCAGAAGAAAAAGAACAAAGGAATTACCACACATTAAAATAATCTAGATATGTAAACGTAAAGGTTTTGCCACAGAGACAGAAAGTCATGCTGTAATTTTTGATCTTACTTTAGTACTTGTAAGTCAGTTGGTGTAATTTAACTTGAATTGCGAGTCCATGGCAGTAAATAACTGTTTTTACTGATCTCTTGGTGATTAGGTGAGGCAGATTTTGCTGTAGCTCATCCATAATGCCTCAGCTTCCCTGTAAATTTGTGGTGGTTCTTGGTTTGTCTTCTCATTTCCAGCAAAATCGAAGGTATAGAACAGCTGCAGAACCTCCAAAAGCTGAACCTGGCAGGGAATGAGATCGAGCACATCCCTGTGTGGCTGGGGAAGAAGCTGAGATCCCTTCGTGTCCTCAACCTGAACCACAACAAACTGTCCTCAGTAAGTGAGGGGAGGCACAGCCAGGCTTTGCTCAGGATCCTTCCCTGAGGGAGCTGCTGTGTCCACACTGATTGGCTTACTCTGAATAATTGCTGAGTGTGTTTCCTTTTGGTCAGAAAAACTCCTTTTGTGCAGGGTTTTGAAGATACAAACCTGTAGGATGTTGTTTGAGACAGTGGAGTTTTTGGGAGGTTGTAAATATCCACAGGCCTTGGTGTGGCTTGAATTTCCAAGGTCAAACTTGATTAAATTTACCCTCTTTAATAGAAGAAGCCATTTGATTATAGGAAGTGACTTTAGTCATAGTACTCTGTGTTTGGGTAGGGTTTTAGAGGTTACTCTTTAGCATAAACATTAAAATAGATCCTTTGATACAAAACTAACATAAGACATTCTACATAATCAGAAGTTCACTCATGGGGGTTTAATTGTTCTTGGAAGGATGTCTGATCATTGTTCCCTTTCTCTTTGATTTAGCTCCATGACATAGCTAAACTAAAGCCTCTTCAAGATCTGACCTCTCTATTCCTCGCTGATAATCCAGTTGGAAATCTGCCTCACTACTGCTTGTACACCATATTCCACTTGAGAGCACTGGAAAACTTGGATGGGCAGCCCGTGACAAATCCTGACAGGCAGGAAGCTCTGCAGAGGTTCAATTTAGGTAATAGTATGTTAAATCTAAAGGGAGTGACACAAAACTGAAGTTTTAGGAGAAGACTTTTCTATTTGAATGTTTCTGTCATTCTGGTTTGCAGAAGAGATAGAAAAATTAGAGAGAGAGTTGGAAAACACAGTCAAGGAGATGGAGAACCTCAAACTGACCCAGTCCAAGGTGCTCGAGCAGCTTCACCATCAAGATGAGGTCAACAAATCACTGAAAGAAAAGACTTTGCAACAGAAACAAAGCTTTGAAGACCTACAAAGGGACCTGGGCACCAAAAATGAGCTGGTAAGGTAATCACCTGCACTAGGGAAATACTTGGACACAGAGTTGTCAGTGTGAGGGTTCAAATGGCTGGAGATTTATGGTTAAAATTGAGACAAACCTCAGGGACTTCAACTCTCTAAAGAGTGGTTATTTACCAGTGGTTCTTCAATGTTCTTTCTGTAGAAAAAGTAAGTATATTGAACCAGCAGTCAGTATCACTCTTGTCATTTATGGTAACTTGTTTGTTTGTCTCTAGTAATTGTTTATTTTTGTTTCAAATTTGGTCAGTTGATGAAAGGTTAAGTGTCCTCTGGCTGCTAAATTGCTGATGTACTGAAATATCCTGCCTTGGTCAGGCTCTAACCTGCTGCTGCAACAAGGGAAAAAGTGAATACTTTTCCAAAACCAAGATGTGCATAGGAGTTGTATGTTTGTTATGATTGTTATTTTGGGTAGTGTCCACTGGTTTACTTGTATTTTATTCACATCACCCTAAAATCTTATATTTGAATATCTTCCATTGGTAGCTATAAAATGCAAGGAAAGTCCTCTTGACTTGAGAGTGATGAATTGTGAGTGACCAGATGGGAACTTAATAGATGGCTTTTATCTTGTTAGACTTTGTCCTCTAAAACTTCATCCTCCAACCTTTTGATAGTTAACACTTCCCCAGCTGTTTATTCTCTGAGCACACCCCCACTAACCAGCAATCTGTTTCTAAAATGCAGTTTTCAGTATAGTGAGATTTAGCAGCAAATACTTTGCAGTTTGAGCCCACTGTTATCCTTGGGGTGACGAACTTTGCTTGCTTCTCTCCTCCTTCAGCTGGTGTGTTGGTTTGTCCCAGCCCCCTTTCTGCAGAGCCTTTATTCCTCACTGAAGGTAGCCCCCCTGTGCTCCTGCCTGCATGGTTATTTTATTTCTAGGATGTATTTGCACTTTCACTGACGTAGCAACATTAGTATGAAGTGTTCACTGTGGGTTTGGATACAATTTTCTTGATTTTTTTTTTCCTTTTCTCTGAAACACAGTTAATTTTTGCATGACATTTTATCAGGTTTTTAAATCTTTCTTTAAGCCTTTCCTGTTCTTATCTTTTCCTCCATTAGTCCTGCTTTCCACTGTCTGTTGGAATTGTGCTGCATGTTCTCCCTCAGGTATTCAGTGTGAAAAGTTGATTTAAAATGAAATCACATGATGGACCTTTACTAAAAATAGCATCAAAACCTACAAAGTTAAGCTAAAATAAAATGCATAGACTTGTACATTTGACAATTGAGATATTTTGTTTCTTTTACAGGCCGTGAGTGTTAATAGCTTCTATGCTCATTGCTAGCAATAAATACATTTGTTATTTGGCCTACATTTTGCTAGAGGATCACAGCCAAATTATTTTTTTATCCTAAGTTAGTAACAGATTTCTTTTTAAACCTTTGATGCCCAGAAACTTCAAAGGCCTTTCATGTGATCATTTGTGTTCTATTAATTGTGGGGCTTCTGTCTCCTCTTAATCCTCATTGTACCTTCTAATAAAGCTGCACTTGTGATGTTCTTGCTCTGTGGTGTGAGCTGTGAGCTGTGTTCCCGAGCTGTGGCTGTGCCCTGCTCTCTGTAGAGCTGAGCTGGCTGTGCTGATGACACTTGGATGAATTCAGCTGACTCTGTCCCTGTTTCTCAGCTGAAGCAGAAGACAGTGGAGCTCACCCGAGCCTGCCAGAAGCAGTATGAGCTGGAGCAGGAACTGGCCTTTTATAAGATCGACGCAAAATTCGAGCCACTGAATTATTTTCCATCCGAGGTAATAATTTTAAAAGAACGGATCTTTTCGTTGCCCTTCCTCTGCATTTTCAACTTGGAAAATAAAGTTTTCTAGAATTCTAATAGACGGTGCTTAATTAAAAGTTATTCGTTACAAAATATAAACATTTCATTTTAAAATCGTAAGTTATAAGCTTTCAGCCAGACGGTGAGTGACATTTAATGTGCTGAATATTAGTGTACATATCTATATGTATGTGTTTTAGCTGAGTCCATGAGCAAACATTTCATTCTTAGTAACCAAAGTAATGATAGGCCCTTCTTCTGGCTTAATTTTGGAGGCCCTTTTACTTGGAGAAATCCCACAAGCCTGAGTTAGATGGTATTAGAATTTCTATGCTTTTTCTGTTGAATTTTTCTCCTAGTAGAGCCCACCCTCTCTGTCATACCTGCAAACAAATATGGAGATGCCTGAATGAAAGCAGCCTCACAAGAGATGTGAAGATCAGTAATTATTAACTATAATTAAGTTATGTCTGAGTAAAATTTAAGTGCAACAATGTAACGGACTAAGTACAATCTAAGTAGATCTAAAATACAAAGATAAAGTTCTTCCTGTTAATATCCACTTGCATTACACGTTTGCAACAAACTCACCACACCCCAGTTGGGTCAGATGGTTTTTAATTCTGTTCTAAAATAACAATATTCAAGGCCAAGCAAGTCAAGTGTAATCTGTTTTCTTCTAGTTATTCTCATTTCAAATTGGTTTAAATGTCTATTATGAATTGTCTGCAGCCATATTTCTGGGATAAAGACCACCTGTTTCCTGCATTTCAGGAGGTTGAGGTCGATGATGTGCCCGGGGAGAGCCCCTACATTGGCAAGGCCAGGTACAAGAGGAACATGTTTGTGAGGGAAGGATTCATCGCTGGCAGGGCTCAGCAGCTGCACCTGGGCAAAGTGCAGAGGGAGGGAGAGGACTTCTGGAGGAAAACCCAGCTGGAACTGCATCTCCAAACTCTGGATGAGCTACTGGAGAGTAAAGAAAAAAAGATTAATTCAGGTAAAATCTTATCCTTTTTTAATCAAATGAAATTAAAATATGTATATCATATAAAATGTGGTTTATTCTGCTGACAGAAGAAGTGCTGTCATTTCTACACACTGTGCTTGCATTTTGGGTCAAAGCTCTTACCATTTCTTATGGCTTTTATTTTACTATAACTCCATAGGAAAGGATTGCATGTTATTGAAAACACAAAGCTAGGGAAGTTTCATGTTTGATGCATTAATTTAATTGTGTAAGGCTTATTAAAAGAACTTTAGACACACTTTTTGATAAACCAGAATGTATTGGCTGTGATTATCACTGTGTTAAGAAAACGCTGATTTTCTGGTGATAGAAACTGTGTATCAATGTCATACACAATATTATAAAGTATCTTGTGGGATTGTGGGGTTTGTGTTGGTTTGTTTTTTTTTGTCTGCAGCACAAAGAAGATTGGAAGAACTGCAAAGTGCAATTGGAGATGCAGAGCAACGAGTTTGGAAGGTAACAGAGGAACTGCAACAACTGGAGGCTGCTCTGGATCAGAAAAAAGTAAGTTGTTCCACAAGTGGCAAAGGAAAGTGTTTGAAGAACTGTTGATCTAGAAAACAGAACTTTTTCTCCCCATTCTTTTCAAGAGGCCACTGTACATATATAAACCCATTTGTCAGGCCTCAGAAAAATCTGAGAGGCTTTAGAGAGCTTGTTTTTAAGTTGTTGTGCTGCTGATTGACTTTCCCCAGAATGCTTTGGAGAAACCTGCTGTGTAGGTTTAGTTGTGCAGTTAATAAGCAACGTGGCTCCATAATTGGCAGCAAGAATTAATTTAAAGCCATTTATCAGCATTAAGCTAAAATTGTATTTTCCATTACTTCAACTGTCATCAATTATTGGTATTTTTAGTCTTTTAACTCACCTTAAAATCAATGCCCAGGATCTTTATTTGACTGGTAAATATGGTCTTGATCAGCTGTGTATTTCCAATTAAACCCACTTAACCCCCTAATGCTGCCTCCAGATATCCCAGGCCAACAGAGAAGCAATCGAGCAGCAGTTGAATGAAAAGATAAAAATCCTGCAGGAGCTACAGAAGGAAACCTTAGAACTGGAAAAACAAATAGAGAAACAGAAAAGAGAAATAGGGAAAAAACAGAAAGAGCTGGAAGACTTGCAGAGTTCTCTTGCTTCTGTAAATCCTGAGAATCCAAGACATGTAAGTAAAACCAAAATCTGAAGTTTTTATGCACTGAGAACTGGAGCAAAGGCTGCTTTAACAGACCAGCATTCAGTTGTGCCCCTTTCATGAGTTATATATTCCTTTTCTATTTATCAAAGTCATTAACTGTTACCAGTTGAAAAACATACAACTCCTCACAGGTAAAACAAAAACCCCTCCAAACCAACCAACTTTGGTAAAACTCTTGAACTATTCATCTCCACGGCAGCTGCTGCCCAGCATGTTAAGGACTGAATCTTTGTGCTCTGCACAAACACCCTGTGCAGAGCCTGGGGGACAACTGCTGTGGGAGAAGCCCTTCCTGCATCCCTTTGTGGAACCTGGCCTTGAAGATATTAAAGCTCTGGGTCTGGCAGTGCTTCTCCAGCCTTTTTGGGGGGACTGATGGCCTTTCCCTGTCACACACCCTCCTGGCAGTGCTGACACAATCCAGGTCTCCGAGGTCACCTCTTCCAGGGCTGGGGCTGTGCCAAGGAGAGCTCGAGCTTCACAGTCTCATTGTTTTTATCCTCAGGCAGGCAGGGCTTTTGATTTCTGGGTCCTTAACTGCGTTCAGGAACAGCACGTGCTTGTAGAAATCTTAAACCGAACCGAAATTGAATTAGTGTTTTTAAAAAGCTTATCTCCAATGAAAGCGTTTCGGGCCGGCTGGGTGCTTCTGAGTAAACAATGGCAGAATTGTTACGCTTGGCTCCTGTTTTCGGCAGAGCCCGCAAACACTCTTTAAAAAAAGAGGGGAAAAAAAGAGCATTTTAAAACTTTTTTTGCCCGGTTGCTGGGTAGTTGAAGGGCCGGGGAGGCTCCCGGGGCACGGCAGGAGCGAGCCCGGCCCTTCCCGCGGCCCCCCTCGCTTCGAATCACAACACAGGAAGCGCTGCCGGGGCCAGCGGCCGGGAACGGGACCGGGAACGGGACCGGGACCGGGAACGGAGCAGGAGCGGGGACGGAGCGGGCCAGGGCGGCAGCTCCAGCCCCGCTCCCAGCAGCGGCCATGGCACAGCCCCTTAATCCCTTCCCGAGCCCAGGCACCGGCTCGGGATTCAAATGAAGCCCGGCCCGGGGTGGGGCGCTCGGCAAGGGGCATCTCGGGGAGAGAGGACAAAGGCAAAGCTGTAAGTGTTCGCGGATGTTGTTTTTAAACATCATTTCTTGGTGACATTCAGCAGCTGCAGCGGCGACTCGGTTTGGGATTTACTTGTTGATATTTCACTTTTGAAAGCTCAGGGGTGGTTTGTTTTTAGCAAGGTGACAAGTCGAATCGCGCTGATATGGATGTTAAAAATTAACTTCCGGTTTAATCCGTTAAAAATGCAAGAAAATATGGATTTTACTTTTGTTATGGAAGCAACTTTCAAAGTTGGTTTTGGTTTCTATTTTCCTGAGAACTTGCATTTAAATTTTGTACTGCAGGCTCGATTTATTCTTTTTGAGAAGTGACAAAAAGGTGCTGTTTGTCGTGACAGTATAATTCTGTACTTGCCCAAGTTTCTGGTATTTGAATCGTTTCTGAGCAATTTCATAGCAGTGAGAAACAACACTTTATTCTGTTGACAACCACGTTTTGTATACAGCTGAAACAATCAGCTAATTCATACTAAATGCATCGAGTCCTGACCAAAGTCTGTGTATCTCCCAGAAATGTTTTAACAAAATAATAAATATTCTGCTTTAAGTAAATCTTAACTGTAAAGTTGGCCAGACTTGCTGGTTGTTCAGAGTATTTTCCTTGGAGTGCTGACCTGACATGTTCTGAAGCATCATCTGCTCTGAAGGCAATGCAGGACGACAGGATTAAAGGTTCTGGAAGAAATCATGTTTGTTCTTGACTGAGAGAGGAAATGGTAGAACAAAATGTAAAGGCAGGAAGAAAGATAGCAGTCATGAGGAATGATTTATAAATGCAGGCTTTATCCACCGTGCCTGGGCAAGGGGGAGACTCCAGACAATGCTGCTGGTCACAGATTGCTGCTTATCTGGGGTTCTTTGTGGGGCAGGAGTGAGGGAAAATAAAACCCCAAACACCACAATGTGTGACTTTTATTGCTGATAGAGGGACACTGCAGAGCTGAGACAAAACACTGGTTGGAGTTTTTTAAATCTATATTGATGTTGTCCTGCTTTCCCTTTCCAACTGCTCGTTACCAGGCTCACATGAAAGCTCAGAAAGCAGGTAAAGAACAGCAGCTGGATATGATGAACAAACATTGCCAGCAGCTGGAGAGTCGCCTGGATGAAATGCTCTCCAGGATTGCAAAGGAAACTGAGGAAATCAAGGACTTGGAGCAGCAGCTCACTGATGGTAAATTTGAATTTTTTTCTTACAGTATTTATTTTTAGGAAAACATGACAGTCGAGTGTTCAGTTTTGTTCATCTTTGTGCAAATGAATGTGTAGGAAAATGTTGAAAAACTGTTCTTAACTGATGTAAAAGGACACTGTGTGTGTTCACCTCACTCGTACAGGGTTGGGGAAGGTCATTTGTGAGGCTCTTCCCTTGTTTCCTTTTTCCTTAAGGTAAGGGATAAGGTTTGAAAACTGCCTTGAAGTCAATGAAGTAAATTTATACATACATTTACTACACACCTAAGTCTGTGTAAAAGTGACTATCCCAGAAAAGGACATGATTTTAAAAATTGAAACAAAATTGATTTAGGTGTAAAGGTAACAAATGTCACCTTAGGTGGGAGGGAGGAATGAGAGTTAAGAAGAGTTTCTTTTTAACTCTCCCAGTGGTCAGGGAAATCCTGAAAGCACAGGCATTTTCTGCTTGAGTTCTAGGTACTTGTTATTACTTACTCCAAAAGGCAAACATTTAAAGAAGATAAAGAAAGCAAGTTTTGTTTGTTTTGTAAAGAAATGTGGCTTCTTAACGATCTCACATTTGGTTTGCATTTCTGCAGGTCAGATAGCAACAAATGAAGCCCTGAAAAGGGACTTGGAAAGTATCATCATGGGACTGCAGGAATACCTGCAAAGTGTCAAGTGCCAGGCAAAACAGGCCAATGAGGAATGTAAGAAGTTGCAGAAGGATAAAGAATCTTTGCTAGAAAGATTGGCAGATCTAGAGGAGGATAAAAACAACCTGGAAATGGTTGCCATGGATGCAGAAAATATGAGAAAAGTAAGGCTTAATACCTTTCTTCCCAAATTCAGATGTCTAAGAGTAACCTTGAAAAAACAAAAGGCTGATGAGCAGATTTGTACTAGGGAAGCACAGTTCCTTGGACTTGGTATGGAAATATCTAATAGATGTGCCCACACACCTTGAGAACAGAATCTGGCCTTTAAAACCAGTTGCCAGAGAGTTACAGTAAATATGAACTTGGTGGGAGATGCCTCAGAAATGCAGGTTTTACCTTTCAGGCATCACTACAAATGGACTTGCAGGTGACCCTGTGGGGAGTGGGACACTGGCCAGGGATGTGTTACCAGCTTGGATCTGTCCTGTCAGTCCTGATTTAGAGCTGTCCTGGCACCCTGAGGAGTTTGATGTGAGCCTGGATTCCAGGAACACATCACTCTGTCACTCTGTCACCTTGAGCTCCACCTTTCTAACCTGAGTGTCCATTTTTGACCAGTCAGAGCAGCATCACTGACCCAACCTTAAACATTAAACCCTTCAAGTTTTAATGTTTGGTGAGTTCCTGGGTTAAAGGGGAAGAGAGGCACTGTAATCCTAAGAAATCCTGGCTCTCTGTGTACATCCCTCTCAAATGACTCTGGAATTCCAGGAAATTGCAGTGCTGGAGAGGGCCCTCCAAGAGCAGCAAGAAATAAATGAGTCTCTCCGAGATGCCCAAGGGAAGGTCAGTGCCTATGAGGCTGAGCTGGAGGCCCAGCTGAGAGAGAGGGATGCTGAAGCCAAGCAGCAAAAAGAAGAATTTGAAAGACTGAAACAACTTAGCCAGGTAAGGACAGAGCTCTGGTGGTGCCAGAGGTGTAACCTGCCCCGGGATGAGGGACCAAACTTCCCTCCCTACCACACCTCCAGTTGTTGGTTTAGTTGTGCCCCCAAATGGAAGATGGCACCACTCTGCTGGGCTTTATAACTTTGCTTTGGTCCAGATGGTTTGGTTGGGGTTGTTTTGTTGGATTTATTTTTAGGAGGTGTTGTTATACTGTTACTGTTTTGAGGAATGCATCTGTTGTTGTGTGTTTAGTGCCAGGTTGGGCTTGGGAGTGGGGGTGTTAATCTGAAGGTTTTCTGTGTTTGTAGATGGAACTGTCAGCCCTGCAGGCTGAACTTGAAAAAGAAAGGCAGGTGTTAGAGAATGCTCAGACCAAAGCACAGCTGGCAGAAGAGAAGGAACAACAAAATTACAAGCTCCTTTCTCAGTTCAAACAACTGCAGGTGAAGTGTTTGTTGTATTAAAAATTTAAGCTTTTATCATCTGTGGATTTGTTTACTTACATTTGTGTGGATTTTTTTGGTCTTTTTTTTTTCAGGGAGACAACAATCTCCTGAAAGAACAGCTTAAAGATCTTCAGGACCAGCTAAACCATGCAGTTGGGAACTTAATTCACCCTGAGGAAGTCTTGGCTTGTATAAATGAACTCAGGCAAAAGCTTCAGTCAGGGGCTGGAGAGATTCAGTGAGTAAAACAGAAGTACAGACAGTGTGAGATGTGTGCATGTGAAAGGGGCAGTGATTGTTCCTCTGTGCTGGGCACTGGGGAGGCCACACCTCGAATCCTGGGGGCAGTTTGGACAAGAAAGACATTGAGGGGCTGGAGCATGTCCAGGGAAGGGGCTGGAGCAGCAGGAGAGGCTGAGGGAGCTGGGGGGGCTCAGCCTGGAGAAAAGGAGGCTCAGGAGGGACCTTCTCACTCTTCACAACTCCCTGACAGGAGTGGGGGAGCCGGGGGGGTCAGGCTGTGCTCCCAGGAAACAAGGGACAGGGCAAGAGGAAACAGCCTCAAGCTGTGCCAGGGGAGGTTTAGATTGGATATTTGGGACATTTTCCTCACTGAGAGGGTTGTCAAGCTTTGGAAGAGGCTGCCCAGGGCAGAATGAATGTATGTTGTATGTCTTAAACTTGCACCGTTGTCTCAGGCTTCATTATTTCAGTACTGGGCATCACAATTTCAAATGGTTATTTTCTGTCTCAGAACCTGGATTGTTTCTCTTTCAGGTGCCCAAATTCAGCTGATGTTGTAGGGAAAAGCCTTGCAAAGCTGCAGAGGGAATTTAATGACATCCTTGCTGATGCTGAGAGGGAAAAAGAGAAAGCATGGGCTAGACAGAGACAGTTGCAGGAAGAAATGGTATCCCAGCAGGAAAAGCTGGAAGAATTACAGGAGAAATATAGACAGGCAAGTATCAAACAACTAAAGCAAGAGTATTTCAGCTTAGTCTAACAAATATAACTTGCAGATGAGGGATCAAGTTTCATTACAGATGGAGCTTTGCCACACTTTGTCTTTTATTTTTTATTGGTTTTATTTTTTATTAGCTTTCTGATTTTTGCCTGATTATTTGGTGAATTAGAATTTAGACTCAATAATATGTCTCAGAGGCAACAAAGAATTGAATTATCAGTAGAAAATTACAGCTATTAACCTTCTTGAAAGATCACTGTACATATCACTAACAAAATAACTTGGGCACTCTTAAAATGTTATAGTTACAGGGGCAAAGCAGTTCTCTGTCTCTTCTCTTTTGGTACCAAGTGTGCTGGTGATTGCATTTGCCAAAAGTTTGTTTAATTAAATCAGAAAAAAAAAAAGTCTTTCTGGCTACTCATTCTAACTTATTTCACTTATAGGTTAAAGCTGAAAACAGGCAGAATAAGAACAAAGTCCATCAGTTAGAGAACGAAATCCAGCATTTACATGATAAAATAAAGAGCATGGAAGAGATTCAGGGCCTTGCTGACCAGCAGCTCCAGGAGGCAGATGAAGAGAAGGAGGCTATTCTTGCTCAACTGGAGGATTTAGAGAAGAGGGTAAGAATGAGTGAGGGCAGGTCCATTGCTCAAAAAAGAAGACTCAGAAACTTCTGAATTATTTTGCTTTCTAAGATAAAACAGATACAGGCAGGAACAAAAAGGTTAAATGTAATATCTTCCTTTTCCTTAAATGTTATGGTTTGTCCTTGCTTTAGTTTTTTTTCTGTGCATAGTGGGATAGAGAGCCTTCCTTCCATGCTGCTTTTTACTTCAAGTTTTTGAAACATACCATTTTCCTGCTTTCAGAAAAAAATAGAAGATGCCAGGGCACAACTGCAGGTTGTGAGTCTGGATAAGGAGCTGAAGGAGCTGCAGAGGGCCATTGTCACCTCAGATAAGTTGGCAGCCACAGAGCTCTGCCTTGCTAAAAACCAGCTCAAGGCTCTTCGGGGGACTGTGCTCAGGATTAATCAGGAGAGGGCTGAGGTAAATCAGCATTGCTAATTAATTGCTTGTTAATGCCATCGGAGTGGGAACGGTCCTGGTGTCCTTTAAATCAGCTTCAGAGCTTCCTTCTGCACTGTCCTGCTGCACAGGAGCTCTTGCTTGGGCCAGAGTTTGAAATGCAGAGGATGAAGGAGTGATTTGGGGATGGGCAGGTGTTCCTGCCCTGTGAGGGAAGGGGAGAGAGAGGCAGATTAAACCTTTTATTAGTGAGAAGTCAAGCAATAGATAATCCATTGTTCTGGAAGATAGGAAAGCCAAAGAAAGGACTATGGAAGTTTGTGCTTGCACAAACTGGAAACAGGTTTTAAAACTGGGAACCATTTTTGACTCCGTGCTGACACATCCTCTGTACAAATACTGCAAAGTTAGAGGAGAAACATTGTTTTCCATGAACTTTGCCAGTTTCTGGAATGCCAGAACAGGCTGATGCTTCTTTTTGGTCAGCTTTTCCCAATGACACCTCTGGAAGCTTTTGAAGTGTTCCTGCAAACTAAAGCTCCAATAAAAATCTCGATTTTAGGAGATTGAGGAAGCTGAGGAGTTCTGTGCTGAGGCAGCTCGTGCTGCCCGGGATCTGGCCAGGGCAGAAGCAGAAATACAATTGCTACAACAACAACTCAAAGAGAAGGAAGAGCAAGTAGGTTGCACTGGTGTTTGTTCATGTTATATTGTATCATGTTATACGGGAAAATACCTATCAGTGAGTTTCTGAGAATGCCACATTTAGAGGTTCTTGCCCTGCCCTTTTCCCCCAAGTTTTCCCAAGTCATGATGCTCTTCCCTCCCCTGTCACCTGCCCAAGAACAAAATGAAACCCTCCCTGACTTCTAAGCAAAATCATTCCTTGTTCACTCAATCACCTCCCCGTGGCTGTGGCTGAGCCTCTGTCTCATGAGGGAATGGGAAGAACAATTCTGTTCCCTCAAAGTGTTCTGCTGAGTGAGAATTTTTATAGGGATGGATTGGGCATGGCCAAAAAGTTTTAACACAATCTGATTTAAGCTGAAGTGCTTTGCCTTGATTTAAACTTGCATTTCAAATAGTTTCAGCGTGAAATGGAGAAAGCTGGAGAGAAGGCTGTTGCATCAAGCCCTCAGAAGTTTGAAATGGATAAATTAAATGAAGTTATGGAGCAGCAAAAAGCAGAAATTGGCCGTTTAAGATGGTTGTTGGATAATATTGGGACAGGTAATTCTCTTTTCTCTCCTCTTATTGCAGAGAGGCAGGGACAAAAAAGACAACTATTCCAAATTTCTCGTTGTTTGAGCTGAGAATCTGGAGAATGAGGTGTTCAGAACACCTTCCTGTACAGCTCTACACAGGATAGGTGTTAATTTTCATTAGTTTGTGTTAACAGCACTTTTTATAGCTATTTGGAAAACAGGTTGTGCTATGAATTTCATTTATGCTGCTCTGGAACACTGTCAGAGATCTGTGTGAGGAGAACGAGCAGCAGTTACCTGGATATGAACTTGTATTTCTACAGTCTTAAAATGCCAAACCTCCCAGGGCCAGTGTATATATGTCACCAAATATAACATTTAGTTTGGTTCCCCCAGCAGTTCAACTTTTCATTATTTTTTCAGATTACCAGGATAATAATGAGGGGGAAAGCTGAATGCAGTGTTTATTTAATTATTTGTCTTGCATGCCTCTAAAACTGTGATTAATTTACAGTTAACAAAGATGAAGTTGACAACTTACAGGGGGAACTTGCAGCCCTCAGAAATGTGCTGTCCCAGCACAGTGATTGTATCCCCAGCACAGCAGATCCCTGGAAAAGAAGAGGATACTGGTACTACCTGCCACCATCACAGGTCAGGAATAAAAACCCTGCTATGGATTTTTTTCCTTTTGGTGTGGGAAAGTGCATTATAAACTTACTGGATTTGGGAGGAACTGCAGAACAAACATTGGCTGCCAGGTAAGAGAAATACTGAAACAAAACACACCCAAATGTTCCCTGATAAAGCCCATTACTGTGTGTAACAGGAATCCAGTGTACATAACATTTGGAGACAGCAGTGCAGTGCTGCAAATTCATTTAGGTAAAGGTTAAAAGGGGATGTTACAGACAGACATTTACTGGAAAGGAGCATTTGTCTGAGTTTAAAGGAAATATTGTTAAAATATATTTAGTGGTCCTTTTTTTAAAGCAACATTATGTTTGGAAATGAGCCAGCAGAGTGTGTGTGTGGCCTGCTCCTGAAAAATCATTAGAATGTCTACAACAAATGCTCTATTTTACATGATTTGTCATTTCTAGATTAAAACACACTGTATTTTTTTTTTCTTTAGGCTTCAACTCCTGCTTCCCAGAGCACAAAGGACTCTGGAGTGTGTTTGGGGTGCTCTGGCTCATCCCCATCCAGGAGAGGGGGTGTCCAGGACAGGCCACGTGGGAGGGAAGACTTGCCCAGCCAAGGAGGGTGTTGGGTTTATTCCCCAGACAGAAATAGGTCATACAAAACAAATTCTGGTAGAGGTAAGTCAGTGCCACAGGCTCGGGATGTTCAGGAGCACACTAAAGATGGACTTGCTAAGGGTTCACAGTGAATGTTTTGATGTGCATGAGGGAGTATAAATGCTTATTACTGTTGAACTCACTATCCAGTTTCAGCAACATTTGATACAGTTTTGTACCTTATAGAATTTAAAATATTTGAAGACTACTGAAAAAATGATTTAAACTACTGAAAAAATGATTTAAACTAACGTGTGGTTTGGGTTTTGATTTTTTTTTTTTTTTTAGGTAAAGATAGAAGAGCAAAAGAAGATGGTGAAGGAAATGCAGGAACTCCTGTTCCAGAAGAGCCTCCCTCTGTGCCACCTCCTGGCACAGTTCTTTACACTGCCCTTCCAGATGGTGCCCCTGCCCCCCAGGGAACAGGGGTGTATGGCCCCCCTCCTGCAGCAGCCAGTGGAGGAGCAGTTGCTCCTGGATCCATCATCCATGGCCCTCCTCCCGTGGGAGCCCAGGTGGTTTATGGCCCTCTGCCTCCAAACTGCACCGTCCCTCTCGTTCCCCTGGGAGTGCTCCACTGCAACGTGCCTGAACACCACGAGTTGGTAAGAACCAGGGGGGGACTGGCTGACAAATGGATTAGAAAAAAAAATCCCTGTGCTGGGAAGGTTCTGGATCTGCTCCTGAGCCTCGGGAGGACGGAACCAGAACGCGGATGTTGATTTTCTTGGTGTGTTCCCCGTGTGCAGGAGAGCGAAGTGTCGAGGCTGGAGGACACCGTGTGCCACCTGAAGTCTCAGAAATACAAAGAGAGGTGCTCAGAGGCAGCTGAGCAGAAATACAAGAGAGAGGTGGAAAAACTGCTTCAAAATGTTGAAGAACTTGAGCAGGAAAGGGCAGAGCTGGAGTGTGAGGTGGCAGAGCTGCGGCGAGCGGCTCAGAGGCAGAGCAGGCGCAGGTGAGGGACTGCATGGAGTGCACTGGGAGTCAGCATTGGAAATAACTGAACTCTTGCCCAGTAAAAGTCAGTTTTGACTCATTCACAGCTCTAGAACTCCAAGAGGCTCCAGGCCTCTCGCGTTTTTGTACTTTAATTCCATGTTTTTCCTCCCTGACCTTTTAGGGACTTTATTGACGGGTACCCTGACAACCTGCTGGCAGAGCTGCAGTTGGAAAGGTCTCTGAGGCACCAGGAGGACGTTGCAGAGGAGATTGGGTGTGTGGAGAAGACTCTCCTGAAGCGCAGAGCTGAGCTCAGGGAGGCAGACAGGCTCCTCTCAGAGGCTCAGGTGGAACTGGAGAGCACCAGGGGGAAGGTGAGAAAGCCAGAACTGAGAGCAGAATGATTTAAGTGTTGCATTGGTTACTTTAGGCAGAGGGTTTTTAGTTGTTTAAGCAGTTCATTTTCACATGGATAACCTGAAGCCTCTTAAAATGCTTCTATTAAAGTAAGTCGTGGGATAACCTGTGCTAAAAGAAAATGTTTTAGTCCCTGCCAAAGAGGAGGAAGGTTTCCTGCTCTGGCCAAGACAAAAGGTTCTACTTCGTGGTAGAGAGGGAGAAGGCTCAGGTGGAATACTCAAGCCAGGAGGTCCCTTTCCAACAGCTGACTGCAGGATATGAATGTGGAAATCACAAGATGGGATGTATTGTCTCAGTTTTCAATTTTTCTCTAGACTAAAGAGACTCTTCAGAAGTACAGTCGTGCCAAACAGCATCTGTCCTGCACCGAGTCAGAGGCAAAGGAGCTGGAGCAGAGGGCTCAGGAAATGGCCACTAAACTTGTGAAAGCTGCTCAGCAACTCAGGTACACTGTTCTTGTGGGTCTGTGTCCCAGGGGGATGAGGAGAAGGATTAGATGCTTTCCAGTATCAAAGTAGTACTTTTGGAGAGGGAGAGCTGTTCAAATGTTAATATAAAAAGGTAAAAATCCTTTTTTAGGTTATTACAGGCAGATACAAAGGATTTGGAACAGTACAAGAGGGAACAAGAAGGTATTTTGAAGGAAATCAACCAAATGGTGGCTGCAAGAGACTCCGAGTTCCAGTCGTTGAACCAGAAGATAGAAATGCTCTCTGAAAGGTAAGGGGTTAGAATTTACCATAAACTGTATTAGAGTAAATAAAGAAGTCCCCCTCCAATAAGTCACTGCCTTAAATATTCTCTCCTCTTTTGACACATGTTTTTATCCTCCCTCCCAGTCTTCAGAAGCTTCAAGGAGATATTAGACTGGCAGAAGGCAACGAGGACCATCACCTCCAGATCATTAGAGAAGCAGAAAGCCTTGTGCAAGCCAAGAAAACTGAACTGGAAACACTGAAAGATCAGGTAAAGCTCAGCTTACTGACCCTGGGCTACCAATTTTATTGGTTCTGATGGAACTGAAGGCTGAGAAGAGTCTCAAGTCACTTGTTCGTGTGTGAAGCCACAAAACCAGAATCTTTCAGCTGATTCTTCTGTTAACCTTGTACTCTGTAGATTTCTGCTCAGCAGCAAGAGCTCCTGTTCCTGGAGCAGCAGGTGAGCCAGAGAACAGAAGAGCTCCATGTCCTGCAGGACTGCATTTCCCTAAAGAAAGGGGACCTCAAGGAAGCCCTTCGGGATGGAGAGACAGAAGCACACGAAAAACTGCACCAGATAAGGGTGAGTCTGTTCCAAATCAGCTCCCAGTTCATTCGAGAAAAAGAACTGGAGTAGCAAAAACATTCCATGAAGTTTCCACAAAGTCAGTTTGGCTTTCTACCACCTCCCCAAACCCACTGAAAAATGGGGTTATGAAAAATAAACGGGCAAGTTTATGGGTTTGTGTGACTAAAAGCTTGGTCCAGATGCACAACTAAGAACTCCCCAGGTCCAGTAATTCTGACAGAATCGGTCCCCTGAGAACTAAATGACATTAATGACTTCCTGTTGCTGAGATGAGCAGCTGCTGAAGCAAGTCAGTGTGATCAGTGTGTGTCAAACACAACACAGCTGCCTGGGCCCAGCCCCACTTGCACTGAGAGGATTCTGTGCTTCCTTTCTGAAATAAAAACAAAGTATAAGGTTAATTATATTTTGTGGTTTGGTTTTTTTCATGGGGGCTTCCTGTCTGACTTTGTTTTAATGGCTGTTATTCACTGCAGTGACAGTGTTATGGTCAGACTTGTAGATCAAAACCTTTGCAGAATTACTGTAAATAATCAACAAGCAAGACCTTAACCTAAACATTCTGTATTTTTTGTTTGTTAAACAGTATAATGGAATTAAATGGAGCAGAATATTGATGACAGACTTAATTAAATAATGTTATAAATATTTACACCTTCTATTTAAAGGATTGCAAATAATGACATTCCTTGTAACACTGATACATTTCCACAGGAAATAAAAGTAATTTTGGAAGAGCTTAATGTTGAGAGGAAAGAACTGGATGCCCAGTTGAGTGGGAAAAGAGCACAGCTTTCATTCCTGAACAAGGATATTAGAAAGGAAGAAGAAAACCTTCAAGGAATCCTTGGGCAGATCACCAAGCACAAGATGGGTATGTCCCTGCATTTACTCACTGCTGTTTTGATAGAAAAGAAACACACAGAGCTCTTCTCTCATCCTGATCCAATAACCTTTATTTATTTCACCTTTCTAGAACTGAAACATGTTCTGGAAATGCTGGAGCTTGAAAAGAACGAACTTCAAGGTTTGAAACTGCAGCACGAGCAGAAGGTCAATGAGCTGGAGAAGACTCAGGTGGCAATTCTGGAGGTGAGTGTTGCCTCTGGAGCTGATACAGGGACTGGGAGAGGTTCTGTGGTTCTGTGAAGCTCTGGGTAACAGAGTCCTGATGCTTTTAAATCAATCAGTTCCTAATCTGATTTCAGCTTATCACAGAAAAGCCTTAAGTCTGCTTAGACCCTTTAAAATAATAGGATTTTTTGGTGCATGGTGGGGAGAGGGGGCAGACAGACAGAAGGCTCTTCTGTGGCTGTTGGATGATGGGAACAGTTTTCTTAGCATGAGCTTCCAGAGTCTTTTTCTCTGGATTCTCTTTGTGTCCTCACTTGCACAGGGTGAGTCTCATTTCCATCCTAACCTTCCTCACAAATCCCCTCCAACCCAGCAAGGTTTCTGAACTGCTGCAGGACATTAATACTTGTTCTCCTTCTGGATCATAGAAACATGTTCAAAATGCCTGTTTGTTTTTTGTTTTTGCAGGAGAAGCTAAAACTGGAGAAGGTTCAGAGGTTATTTCAGTGCCAGCAAGGGGAAGTGGAGAGGCAGGAACAGCTCCTCGAGAAAGACCGGCAGGAGAACCAACAGCTGGTTTCCCAAATGCAAACTCTGCAGAACAACCTCGAGGCCCTGGCTAAGGAGAAGGAAAAGCTCCAGGAAGACTCCTGGAGTCTGGAGAAGAGGTTGTCACAAACCAGAAGGTGGGGGGATATTTTCTTGCTGCAAAGCTCAGAAGGGCTGGGGAGTGCTTTGAGTGCCTGTTTGTCGGAATTAAAAATACAGCTGTAACTTTGAGGTGCCCAATTATACAGAATGTGCAGCTCCTTCTGTCCTGGGAGGTTTTATTTTAAGCCTGAATGCAATAACTTAGAGAAAATACTCAGCAGTGGAGCTGGTGAATTCAACAGCATTTGTTATATCCTGGCACTGCCACAAGAAACGTTAAAAAAGTCAAATGTTGAGTCTTGGAACGGGACATTTGTCCTGCTCTGACTGCTGGGTACCACCCCCTTGGGCTGAGGAGACTTCACTGACATTTTTTAAGGATTTTCAACCAACCAAGAATATCTATTCACATTTTACAGAGACTTAACTGCTGCTGAAGACAGCAGCAGAACTGCCCTGTCCAATGTAGAAAAAATGGAACTGAAGGTTAAGAACCTGCAGCAGGAGGTGGAGCTACTGAGCAAGCAGAAGAAATCACTGAATGGAGAGATTGTTGCTGTCCAGGAGGATCTTCAAGGTAAAGATCAGTTTTTGGATTTAAGCTGTAATACATTTCAAGAGAAATTGTGTTAAAAGACACACTTTAACTCAGGTGTCTGATATTAAATATCCAACATGCTCAGATGTCTCCAGGCAGAAAGTGTCAAAAAGATGGAAATTTTAGAAACTGTTTCTATTGTTCATTCTTCACTTGAGAGAATTTCTGTGTGCAGGGATTTCAGACTGCTGATTGAAAGATTATTGTTGCCAAATATTTTTTTCTAGGAAAAAAGGAAGAACTAGAAACAGTGAAAGGAGAACTGAGTGACTCCAGGGAGCAGCTCCAAGTAGTGGCACAGGTTGGTTTTAGTGAAACACAAATTTATTGTCACAGGGGAGGAGGTTGAGGCACAGCAGGCACAGCCCATCCCCTGTTTGTCTGGGCACTCCAGCTCAGCCTCAGAGCCTGGCAGAGCTCAGAAACTGAGTCTGGGGTGGGTTTGATTGTTTTTTAAGAAGATACTTTAAAACCAACCAGCCAGCCAGCCCTGGTTTCTCCCCTGGTGGTTCCTGCTGTGTCAGTCCACTCGGGTGGTTTGCATGGAAGGAAATCTCGGGGTGACCAGGGTTGGTGAGTTCTGTGCTCTCAAACACAACCCTTCTGGCCAGAGAGCTGCTTCTCTCACCAGCTCCTCCTCTCACCTGGGTTTGGTTTGTGTTGCAGGATTTGAAGAACAACACAAGGCAGCAGGAGGAGCTGCTGAGGGAGCAGGCAGCCCTGAGAGGAGACATCCAGGAGTATTTGAGGAAGCGTAAGGATCACCAGGAGAGGCAGAGGAAGAGGGAGAACCAATTGGAGGAGCTCCAGAAAAAGATTGAAGAGAAGGAAACAGAACTGGCTGAACAGGAAGAGGTAACGAGCCCCCTGACTTGCCTCACTTCCCCTGAGCTGGAAAGTAAGGCAGCCAAAAAGTGTGGGGGGAGAGTTTACAACCAACCACAGCCTGGCTTGGGTTGGGAGGGACCTTAAAGCTCATCCAGCTCTTTCCAATTTATGCTGCTTTAGCTTCTGTAATGTTTCTTAGAGGTGGTTTTTGTTCTCCTTGGTGTTCAAGCTCTGAGTGGGGGGTTTTCTGGCAGGTTCTCCATCACCTCAAGCAAAGTTCAGAGCGCGAAGGAAAAAAGCTGGAAGAATGTACAGCTAAAGTGAAAGAGGAGAGAATCCTCTTGGAAAAGGAACTCGCAGATCAACACAAGAAACTGGAGCAGACAATAGCAAAAGTCAGGCTGGCAGAGGAAAACCTTGGGAAGCTGGAAAAGGAGGAGTCCAGATGTGCAGCTCTGGAAGAAACTGTCAGAAAAAGCAGTAAGTCATTGCCCAAATTAATTGTTTCCACCTCTGGGTCCTCAGTCTAATGGAACCAACAAACATTTCTGTTCATCTCACTTGGTTTCTTGGTGTTTGAAAAGTGTCTGCTGTGTGTGAAATGTGCCAGGATGGTTCAGGCTCTGCTAATCAGGATTGGTTTTAAAATATGTTAATTACAGAACAGCAGCTCTCAGAAAGAGAATCACAGTTACAACAGAAAGACAGAGAAATACAGTGTCTTCAGGAGGAACTGGAAGTCTCCAAGTCTGAGCTAAAGCAGCTCCAAGATCTGGTGGTGTCAGAGAGGAGAGAAGCAGAAAAACAAATCTTGAGTCTGAAAGAAAAACAGAACGTGCAAAGGATGGAGCTTGAAAGAAAACTGCAGGTAAGTCCTGGCTGAGGGGAGAAGGTTTGGGGTTTTTTTTTAAACAGCAAAATGATAGAACACCCATTTTTTTGTATAGGAGGAACAAACCCCCCTGGCCAGACACAACTTGAGGCAACCAACCTCTGGTATTTCCAGGCTGTGCTGCAGAGAACCTGAGTTACTCCTGTTTAATCCTGTTTCTGCCTGGGTTCTCTCAGTTCATATTTGTGCACTGGATGCTCCCACTAAAAGGCATCTTCCTGCATTTTCCCAGGAACAAAGGCATGAAAACACCAGTTTGCAGAGTGATGTGGCAACAGCTGAGCAAGTGGCCCTCAGGAACCACCAACGAGCCAAGGGCCTCGTGAAGGACCTTGGGCAGATCCAGCAGCACTACAGGGACCTCCAGAGCCAGGTGGGTTTGAGGGTTGATCACTCCCAGACAGTTCATTTGTACTGGGTTTGAATCTCCTGTCTGCTCTGTCACAATTACAAATACACCTCCTTGGCATAACCAGTCATGATTTATGCAAATCACTAAAATGTTATCAATGTTCAGAGCTACTCAGGGAGCCTTTAATGACCTGTCAGTGCCAGCCTGGGCCAGCTTCTGCTTTTGAGACTCACTTGGAATTAAAAGTGATTCCACCTTGTCTGATGCCTTCTAGTCCTTTAATAAATCCTTTATAAATTGTTTCCAAGCCCTTTAAAAACGGGGTCCTGCAGAGAAGAATGTTGTTGGCAACTGGAAAGTATTCAGGAAGGCCCTGCAAGGTTTAAGTGAACAAGTTGTGTCCTGGAGTTTCCTGTTCCCATCCAGGGGGTTTCCCTGGCAGAGTTAATGTTGGAACTAGAGCTGCAGCTGGGCAGAGGTTTTGGGGGCTCTGACTGTAGTGGTCCAGGTGTAACCCTTTCAAAGTAGCCCCTCTGGACAGATGAGGTGTTTGTAACCCAGTGCTGAGACTGTTCTGTGCTGCAGGTCAAAACCCTGGAGGAGAGACAAAGGGAAATGGAGAGTGCAGCAACATTGCTTAACCTGGAGGTTGAAGATGAAATTAGGACGGGGTTTAAATCTCCCAACTCCTCTTCTCTGTACCCGTTGGAGGATCTGGAAACATCCTCTGAAGCAAAGGGAAGCCTGTTGTGTGAGTCTGGGGACTGGGAGCCCTTCACTGCTGCTGCTGACAGACTGTCCCGGGGAGACAAGTGGAACATCTCCAGTATCTTCATAATGGTAAAATGCTTTGGGAAAGCAGCTGCTGCTGGTGCTGCAGCCAAGTGTGGGGGCCCTGTCCCTGTCCCTGCCGTGCTCATGTGCCTCTGTTTCCCAGGACGAGCAGTGGCGGGGGGAGGCGCTCCGGGAGCAGCTCCAGCAGCACGAGGACCGGCTCAAGGTGCCACATCTGTGCCTGTCACACCCACACGGCCCCGGGGCCACCTCCACATACCCCCCAAACACCCCGGGGCTGTGGGATCCACCCCCAGCTCGGCCAAATCCACTCTGGAGTGACCAGGGACAGGAGCTTTGGGTGGGGGAAAAGTAAAACAGTAAAAGCCTGGCAATGCAGGCTGGAGCAAGATGAGTAATTTTAATTAGCAGTTAACTGGATTTTAGAGTATTCTAAGAAGATTCCCTCACTTCTACCACACTGTGGTATATCAGCAATGTGACAGATGAGTTCAGGGCCACCCATAATCACATGAAGGTAGTGGGGGGGTTCAGTTAGAACATGGCAAAGGCCATCAAAACAGAGCCAGTTTAAAAACAATTCCCTAACCCACTGCCCCCTGCCTGTGGTGTGAGACTGAACATTCCAGCCCTTATGGCTTGACTTGACCTTTTCAATAGGGTGGGAAGTGGCCTTGCCTGGTGTAACCAGGCCCGTCCAGTGGGCAGTGCCCTGGTGTGACCCCCCTGTCCATGCCCAGGCCCAGCTCTGGCAGTCCCTGGCCCAGCAGGCCGAGGTGCTGCTCCGGGGGAAGCAGCAGACGGCCGGGAGCCTGCACAGCCTGCAGAGACAGCTCGATGAGCTCCACGACCTGCTCAGCTCTGCCTCCGACTCGCTGCTCCTGGCCAGGAGCTCCAGCCTGGGATCTCTCAACAGCACTCTGAATTCCACAAGAACTCAGGTAATGTGCTGCTGTGGGCAGCAATTCTGTTTTGGGGGGTGTAATGGTTTTTTTTCCTCACTGGGCAGGGGCTTCTGAAGGGGGGTGATCACACCCTGTACTTACTCTGGCAGTAGCTGATGTATTTGGAAAGGCTGAGCTTTCCTCAGAGTGGTTTGGGCTTTTTATTCTTTTCTTTTTAATCTTTTGTTCTCTATAATCAAATTTTTTCTTGTTTTTACAAAGTCTAATGTCTCTGCTAATTGAAGGCATTAATTACCCTGACTTTACTGCTTTTCCCAGGCCTCTCTGCCAGGCCTTGCCGGGGTCCCCAGCAGGCCGGGAAGTGTCTCAGGATCTCCCACAACACGTTCCTGCTCCCAAGGAGTCTCTCGGTGAAGCCAGAGGTGAGACACAACTTCAGCCTGGTCCCAGCCTCCCTGAGAGCCTGGAATGCCAAGGGACAGGGGCAGCTGGGGGTTCCCAGCCCACTGTCCCTCCCCAGTGCCGTGGTGCCTGTCCTGGTTTAGGGGTGTGTGTTCTGCAGGAGGAGTCTGGGCAGGAGCTGCTGGGAGCTCTCCTGGGCCACAGAGGGACCAAGTTAAACATTAAGCTTTGCCATCCTTGGCCTTTCAGTAACACATTTTTGGCTCAGGAACTGTCCAGCCCAGTGGCTGAACCTCTGCTAGGGCTGGTTCATAGCAGCCCAGGACAGAACTGTTCTTTTGGACCAGCTGAAGTTAAAATTGGTACTTGAAAAGTGGCTTCACATGGGAAGAGCTCAGAGCACATCCCCAGCTTGGCCATGGGCCCTCAGCTGCCACCTCTGAAGACTTCTCCTACCTCACTGTGTGAGCCCTGTCTGACAAGGCCTTTGCCCACAGGAGCTGCTGCAGGGCCTGCACTGTGCTGTGAAGGTTTTGTACAACTGAAGAACAGGTTTATGTATATGTTGGGGTTTTTTTAAAAAAAAAACAAACTATTTTAAATGAGTATTTAAATGTGCCCAAAACAACCTCCTATTTAAGTGCTCAGCTCTTGGCCAATTTTGACTTTACAGAAACCTTGTTACAAGGCTGGACTTGTCCCTTGACCTGTTGCCAAACACATGGAGGTTTTAAATACAATTATTTTTTTGAGTACTTCCTTAAAATAAACTTTTGTGATCGATGCTTTTACGTGGGGGTGGTTGTGGGTTCTTTTCCTTAAAGCTGCTCTCCAGGACACTGAGCTCCTCACCCAGCACAGCCCTGGACAGCAGCAGCTCCCACTGCAGGAATGTGTCCAGTACTGGCATTTCTGGCCTTGTAACTCTTCCTGGCTGCTGGGGGTGAGCTCTCAGCAACCCTTCGCTCTCAAAGGCTTTGTGAATACAGTTAATAGCTTCAGAAACAAAATTCCAAGCAACTCCTGGGAAATGACACAGTGACTCTGTCCCAGCCCTCTCTCTACCTGTCCTATGGAACAGGCTTTGGAATCAGCCTCAGTCTTGCCCTTTCTCATCCACATTATTAATATAAACCTGTTCTATGCAGCAACTCCCAGCTCACTGGGAACAAACAAACACCAGAGCCCTGCTGGCCCTGCCTGTTCCCCCTAAAGAACAGCTCTGGAAGAGGGGGACAAACTCCTCCTGCAAACTGTGGGTTGTACCATCAGGTCCAGAGTGGAGGCTGAGCACAAAACCCAGCACTAGAAGGATCTCTCAGCCCTCAGAGGTCCCCCAGCAAATGACACACAGCAGTGAGGTTTATCTAGATACAGGTACTTTATTTACAAATATTTAGATTAATAGCATTGTTACATCAAATGAGGAGTACAGCAGTCCAACCAGATCCTTTCTGTGACAGAAACAATCAGACCTACTGAACTGACTCCGGGAGTACAGGTATTGCACCTCAACAAGCTGTAGTCATTACAACACTGACTTCACACCAGCAGCAGGTCGTGGTCCCTGGGCAAGCCCTGGTGCAGCCTCGGGGGAAGCAGGATGCAGGAGCTGGAGATCTCGGACATACCCATCTACTGAGGGACAGGAGGTAAAAAAGGACTAACCAGACACAACAGAGGGACAGCGCACAAGTTACCCAAACCCACTGTCTGCACATTCCAGTTTTGGCTTTTATTTAACAAGGACTGTACAATACTCTGGTACCACTGGTTACTTACAAGTCTGAACATTGTGGAGTTTTAGTGTCTAGAGCGGGATTTTAAGGCTACTTTGTATTTGAAACGCTGCAGTGAGCCTGAGGTGGGACATTAAGCACTTACCCTTCCATTTTTAAACCATGTGGTTTTCCAAGCAAAGCTGCACTTGGAGCCACAGAAAACCCCCCCTTAGTGCAGCAACACCCCCCCGTGCAGGGTCACCACGTGACACCCCTCACACACAGGAAGGATGTACTCCAAGGCTGGATGCAAAACCCTTAAAAAAACCCCTCACACAGGACTGGTAAAAAATACAACAGCAGTTAAAATCCCTGGAGAGCACATGTTGTTCCAAGTGTCCAGTTCAGCCTCTGCCCATTCCCAAAGGTACAGGTACAAAAGCAGGGGGTGTGCGAGAGCCCCGGCCACGGATGGAGCCCGAGAAGGGCAACGAGAAGCAGAGGGGAGAGAACCCCCAGTGCAGAGATGAGACAGATCCCACTAGTGTTAATGTCTGTGTCCCCAGCACCACATCCCTGGGGACACTGGGAATGCTGCCTGGGAGCTGCAGCCAGGGCCGGGCTGTGCTGCCAGGGCAGGTGGGCACAGAGAGCTCAGACTGTACAAACGGGGTTTCTTACACACTGTTCTAATGCCAGGCATCGGATTCTTCAATAAAATCATATACACAGGATGTATTTAACTGTTAGCTCAGTTCCTTCAAATTTTATACATATTTACGTTCTGTTAACAAATGGAAAGGAGAGAAGTGGCAAAAAAAAGGACATAAAGCTATTGAGCACAAGAATGAACAGGTCACTTCCCGGCGCCACCCCGACCCCCAACACATCCCGCAGGGAATTCTTCCAACAAAGCACATCGTTACAGAGCCCCTCGCTACCATCGGAAGTCATTTCACAGCAAAAACTCATCCTTTACTATGGACAGCTCCAACAGTTAGAGGTGGGGGAGAAAGGCCAAAGAACCATAAAATTAAACCATACAAGACAAAAGCCCTGCGAAAGTGTAAAATCAGGAGTCCAGCATCAGTGCTCAGTTTAAATTATGTATCGGTGACACTATCACAAGGACAATCAAGGAAAAAAAAAACTTCTAGATTTACCATGCAGGAGAGGTTTTATTACTCTACTTGCCTTTGATAACCTGATTACATCTAAAGTTGTTTAGCAGTTTAGTACTGTGTTAAACTTGTCTCAGAGTTTTAATTAAACCCAGTAAGATGTACAGAAGACGGGGCAGCGGCCAAAAGCAGCGCTCCCGAGAGCAGAGGTGTGGGGTCAGAGGAGCCCTGGAGGGTCAGAGGAGCCCTGGAGGGTCACTAGCAGCCACAGCCTTCCCTCTGGGGCTGGGGTTCGCTCGTTAGCCGCCCGCCCTGCGGGGCCGATGGTTTGTGCTGTACGCCCGACTCGGCCGCGTTCAGGTCCAGGCTCCCGTCTTGGATGTTCTGGTAGATCTTCTTGGCAGCCTCCAGGAACGCGTCCTCCACGTTCTCCCCGCTGCAAGAGAGCGGCAGAGTTATGGGGCTGCCCCTCAGCACGGCAGGGACACCGTGCTGGGATCCCACTGCTGCTCCCCCAGGCCCAGCTCCAACCCCGTCCATGGGACAGACCCGGCAGCAGGTCCCTCCTGGCCACTGCACCCAGCAGGGGCAGCAGCAATGAGAGAATGAACCACTGAGCAGCAAAAATAAACCAAGGCGTCGAGCCACGGGCACAGGACAGCTCTGACAGAGGCCCAAAGACAGGGGAGCCACCCCAGAGCAGAAGTTCCCCTCTGCCAGGTGCCAGTGGGAGCCCCAGTTCCTGGTGTCCCTGAGACTTGCTCCCCCGGGACACAGCCAGCCCCAGGCACAGCAACTGCTCAGGGACTGAAGGGACCAGAACAAACTCTACAGCCTGAAAAACCTGAGGGAAGGAATGTCTGGCTGGGAAACACTGACCCACATGTACACATTCCACACTCAGACAAGGCCTTATACCCCAGTTGGTCCATTTGGATTCAACCAGTGTTTTCCTGAAATGTAGCCAGAGCTCTAATTCCCCAGTTACCTTCAAGTCAAAGCTGCTGAACACACCTCACCCTCCAAGGGAGCTCAGAAACGTTTGTCTGCTCTCTTATGCACTTGCACCCCCCTCCCATACCCAGCTCCATGGCTGTTCTTGGTCAGGACCAACATATTCCTCTTAAACGGAGGGATCTGAACCATTACTGCAGGTAAAAGCCACTTACGTTTTTGCACTTGCTTCGAGGAACAATAAACCTGTTCAGAAACAGAGGTTTAACAGTCAATGCACAACACACCAAACAGCCCCAAGTCAGACACATTCAGACACACGTGACCTTCAGTTACATGCAAGACACTATTTTAGTACTAAACATTACTGACACAAACTGATTTCTAGAACTAAGACAGCGAGCACCAGGCCAGACTGCCTCGGGCACAGGACTTTGTACATACAATTCCATGACTCTGGAAGAGTAAGCTCGCAGCTATCAGTGCTCAGGAGTCACTTTAACAGCACTATCTCGTAGGAAATGTACCAGCCCAAGAGAAAAAAACACACCATTTTCTTCAGCAAATTGTTTGGCTTCTTCATATGTAACATCCCTCTGTGCTTCCAGGTCTGCTTTGTTTCCTATGAGGATTATCACCTGGTTTGGGAGAGACAGAGTTAGTTTGGGGAAAAGCTCGTGAGCCTTTTCACTGCCGTCCTCGTTAGTGATAAGACTGAAAAACCAGAAGAAAATATGCAGAGCAGATTATCTGCAGAGGCCATGCTCCTCCAGGAGAGCTCTGCTCTAGCATTCCCCACTCTGGGAAGGCAGGAACAGCATCTCCAGCCTTCCAAAGCTTTAGGCTGTTCTCAGGAGACCAGGTCCTAAAAAGCAGTGGTGCTACTCTTTGTTCATGAGCTGGACCCTGAGCCACTTCTTGTGTTTGTTTAATCATCTGCTAATCCAGACAGAATCTTTAGAGGTTTCTTTTGTCACAGCAGAGTCTTCTCATCAGTTTGGTGCTAAAGTATTTTAGAGGTATTCAGGGAAAGGCTGAAGGACAAGAGTTGTGTGGTATGGTCAGAGAGACACAGAAGAAGAACCTTCAACCTTCCTCCCCATCCCTCTGGAAGACCTGGTCAGCTTTTCCCGAAGATCCAATTCACATTCCAACCTCAGACAAGAGAGCATTCACCTCGTTACTACCACAGAGCAAGAAGAGGAACAGAAGTTAGAGCTGGTCCAACTTCACCACAGTTTATCTCCAACTGCTTCAAGCAGCCCCTGAAAGGTGAGTGGCACAGCAAGACCTTTAGAAGGAGCCCCTTTTGCTGCAGCTGCAGTCAGGGAAGCAAGGGAAGCACTGCAAGGGGGGACACGAGGAATGAACACAGGCAGCTCCTGCAGAGCCACTGCAGGTGCCTGGGGCTGAGCCTCCCCCCTCTGGCTCAGGGAGCAGCAAATGCTGCTTTCCAGCTAAATAAAGTCCAACTTACAGTATTTGGATTGGTGAGGTTCCTTGCATCTGTCAGCCAGCTGCTTAAGTGATTATATGTACTTCTTCTGCAAAGAACCAAGCGAGCACAGTTTTAGCCTGGGTATTTTATAAAATATTCAAGTGCCTATAGCACAGTCAGCATCCACCAAGCAAACATCCACCATCCCTGCTCTTCTCCCCACCTCCAGACACACAAAGCAGCAGTTTGGGCTCAGACCACAATTTCAAGTCAACTTTAGCCCCCTGGAGCAGCTCTTACAACACGTGTGGAAAGCCAGAGCAATTCCCATTTCTGCACACAGACAACCTTGGTGTTGTTCTGCACAGAACACATTAAAGGCTTTCCTGTCAATCATTCTCACAGAACACTGAGCAGCACAAGAGCACTTTGGTAACAAACTGCAGATGATGTTTTACTCAAGACTTACACAAACAGGAAATGCACCTCCACGTGCAGGAAGAAACAAGAGGTGCTTGACAAGTATGGAGAACAGCCCCAGAGGGAGAGGTGTGAAACAGAGGTACTTCATGGTGCATCTGCTGAATTACTGCTTCAGCAGCACCTTCAGCTCTCCCCTCTCCCGGGCAGTGCCAGCCTGGGAAGGCCCAGGGCAGCAGGGCTGTGCTCCCTCCACACATCATCCCAGCACTGCGGCAGTGCCCGGGGCTGTGCCCACGCTGGGAACACTCTGCCAGGTGAGAGCAGTGCCCAGGGCCTCCCAGGAGACACAAATCCACGTGCTGAGGAGCAGCTTTTAAGGACAAAGCCAGTTCTTTAAAAAAGCTTCAAGCCAGGCAGCCACGGCCTGAAATGGCGAGATCCTCAGGCCTGTCAGCAGCGACACTTCCCAAGGAAAGCAGCCCCACAATTCCTCAGGTATTTGTACAAATTGTGGAACTGTCACACAACAGGACACCGATCATCCAGACACAAGCCAAGGGCACAGACAAGACAGGACACACGAGGCTGTGACAAGCACACCCAGAGCTCCTGCCCTTACCTGGTGATGTCGTAGACCATGAGAGCTCCTGCTGCTCCTCTGTAGTAGCTTCGTGTGACAGCCCTGAATCTCTCTTGTCCTGCTGTATCCCAAATCTGTAGTTTAATTTTTTGGCCACTAACTTCAATTATTCTTGTGCCAAATTCAACACCAATTGTGTGGGGACAGTCTGCCATAACTGCCATGAGAAATAAGAGCAAAGATCAGATCTCTCCAGGACAAGGTTTCCTTGCTGCAAAGATGTGACTACCACCAGTTTGCAGTTATCTTTACTGATCTGCAGTCTCTAAGAAAGCATTTTACAGTTCCCAAACCGTATCACTTAAACAGAAATAAAATGCTGTATTTCCTGAGCTGCAGTTAGTTTTAAAAAGTTATAAAATTCCTTGCCTTCTCTGCTGCTGTTTGGCCATACATATCAGAAGGTATCAAGTCAGCTGATTGCCAGTCTATCCTTGCAGAAACTATTTCAATGCAGTGGGAAAAGATAACTTTTAGGGAATTACCAAGAAAGATACAGTTCAAAAGTCTGTAACATCTTCAAAAACAAGTATCTGGGTTGTTTCAGACAGGGCAACCACACGACTGTGCACAGGAAATGCCACTTTCATAAGGAGCTCTAAACACAACAAATCAAACCCCAGAAGGCATCTTTCTACTTCTGATAAACTCAGGTTAATAAGCTCATCTTTAAGAAAGATCAAGAAAATACAAGAAAGGTGAGGAGCTCCTCAAGCTCCCTGCAGTTAGTGACAGTCACAGCAGAGGGGTTTGGTGCTGACAGACCAAGAACAAGACACATCCTCACTGAGAATCTGATCACAGCTAAAGTAGCATTGAAATAATTGGTTGATACTGCATTTTATTCAAAAATAACAGTCAGAAAATCCTATTTCTACTAAAAAACGAGTATTTTAAACTGCAGCTCCTACCCACTTGCTACCACACCTCAAGTAGCACATGGTGAGCTCAGACTGACTTTGTGCTGATAAATACCTGCAGAATTACTCAGGGAGTGAGGTAACAACTGCTGCAAACCACAAAGCAACACACTTTAGGAGCTAATTCTTAATTAAGGCTGATACCATATATAAAAGAATGTTTGAGACAGACTGCAGTAAGCCTGAAACACCATCACCCAGGGCAGGCCAAGTGTCCTGACTCACAGAGCTATAGGCAATGG